ACACTGCAAAGTCGCTGTTTTAATCGAAAATTACCGTCTCAGTTTTTTCTCTCATTATACACTGTGTGCTGCAGGATTTGTTTTATGTGGTGCACACATACCACATAGATGTATTCTCTCACATTTAGGCCCAAATTTATCACTCACAGCTTATCAGAGTGAGCTGAGCTCATGGCGTAGATCTACGGTTTGGACCCTGAACGTAAAGCTGTAGATCTACAGCACGGACCCTGAAAGGGTTAATATATTTATAGATGGGGTTGTAAAAGAAGTAAATGCTAGGGTGTTGGGGAGAGGGGTGGGATTAAATTATGGGGAATCAAGTACATAATGGGAGTTGACAGATACTTTTTGCTGATGATACTGTGCTTATGGGAAATTCTAAAGAAAAGTTGCAAATAATAATAATAAGTTTATTTCTTTGTAAAGGTTACAATGTGTAATTACAATTTTGATTTGCTAAGAGGGTGTGTAAAGGTAGAAGGTTGAAAGTGAATATAGATAGGAGTAAGGTGATGAGGGTATTAAATAATTTGGATAAAGAAAAATTGGATATCACATTAGAGAGAGGGAGTAACGAAAGAAGTGAATGTTTTCAGATATTTGGGAGTCGACTTGTCAGCGGATGGGTTTGTGAAGGATGAGGTTAACCATAGAACTGATGAAGGAAAAAAGGTGAGTGGTGCATTGAGGTATCTGTGGAGACAAAAAAACATTAACAATGGAGGCAAAGAAGGAAATGTACATAAGTACAGTGGTACTAACAATCTTATATGGGTGTGAAGCTTGGGAGGAGGGAGCTGGAGGCAGTGGAGATGTCCTGTCTAAGGGTAATGTGTGGTGTAAATATTATGCAGAGAATTCGTAGTGTGGAAATTAGAAGGTGTGGAGTTACTAAAATTATTAGTCAGAGGGCTGAAGAGGGGTTGTTGAGGTGGTTTGGTCATTTAGAGAGAATGGAACAAAGTAGAATGACTTAGAGAATGTATAAATCTGTAAGGGAAGGAAGGCGGGGTAGAGGTCGTCCTTAAAAAGGTTGGAGAAAGGGGGTAAAGGAGGTTTTGTGGGCAAGGGGCTTGGATTTCCAGCAAACATGCCTGAGCGTGTAGATAGGAGTGAATGGAGACAAATGGTTGTTTAGGACCTGACAAGCTATTGGAGTGTGAGCTGGGTAATATTTTGTGAAAGTATTTAGGGAAACCAGTTAGCCAGACTTGAGTCCTGGAAATGTGAAGTACAATGCCTGCACTTTAAAGGAGGGGCTTGGGATATTGGCAGTTTGGAGGGACTTCTAAACGTTGTATCTGAGCGCCTCTGCAAAGACAGTGATTATGAGTGATGATGAAAGTGTTGAATGACGATGAAAGTATTTTTCTTTCTTTTGGGTTTTTCTTTCTTTTTTGGGTCACCCTGCCTTGGTGGGAGACGGCCGACTTGTTGAAAATAAAAAAAAATATATATATATATATATCTTTCTTCTTTCAACAAATCGGCCGTATCCCACCGAGGCAGGGTGGCCAATAATGAAAAATGAAAGTTTCTCCTTTTACATTTAGTAATATATACAGGAGAAAGGGTTACTAGCCACTTGCTCCCTGCATTTTATTCACCTCTTACGACACGCATGGCTTATAGAGGAGGAAATAATCAATAACAAGAACTATTAAGAAAATAGAAGAAATTCCAGAGGGGTGTGTATATATATGCCTGTACATGCATGTGTAGTGTGACCTAAGTGTAAGTAGAAGTAGGAAGACTCTCCTGAAATCTTGCAAGTTTACGAAACAAAAATAGACACCAGCAATCCTATCATCATGTACAACAATTTCAGGCTTCTGTTTTACACTCAACTTGTCAGGACGGTAGGACCTCCTTGGGCAGGATTTTTTTTATATGTTGCACACTCGCTGCACAGACTCATTCCCTCATATCTAGGCCCAAATTTACCACTCACAGCTTATTTGAGTGAGCTGAGCTCATCACATAGTACTACAGCAGGAACCCTGACCTCAAGGCTGTGGTACTATGGCATGGACCTCGAAAGGGTTAATAATACCTAATTTTTATTAAATAATTATAATCCTAGACATAATACAACAATCAATTAAAAAAGGACCAGTAATGTAGAGTTGATGAACTTGAGGAGTTCAGAAAAGGGTGGTTACAGCCCCTTACATTTAAACAGCTCTGAGAAGCCACTGTGGGCTAAAGGAAGTTATTATGAAGACCTGAGAGTCTGAGAAAAAGATTCCAAGAATGTAAGTCGTGTCAAAGTATTATGACTGAAAACTTGAACATGAGGTAAGTGGCTGCAAGTTGGTGCCCTGCTTGCTGACTCAAGACCAGAAAGACCACTATTTTCTGGCCAAACATAACATAACCTTCGGTGTCGCTATGGGCTCTCCTCTCTCTCCTGTCCTTGCTAATCTTTACATGGAATACTTCGAGATTGTTCTTCTTCCTACCATCGATGTGCAACCTTCTCTCTGGCTCCACTATGTGGATGACATCTTTGCTCTGTGGCCTCATGACTCCAGTCTCTTCCAACCTTTTCTTGAAGCTCTTAATAATCTTGCCCCTTCCATTAAGTTTAAAGCTGAATGGGAATCTAATTCCTTGCTTCCTTTCTTTGATGTCCATGTCCACCGCTCAGATACAGGTTTTTCCTTTTCCGTTATCGAAAACCTATGCACAGTGGCATGTACATTCACTACTTTTCCTATCATGCTTCCCCTGTCAAGAAAAGTGTTCTTATCTCCCTCTTTCTCCGTGCCCTCCTGCATCTGTGATCCTCAGTTCCTTCCAGCAAAAATTTCCACTCTTCATAATACGTTTTCCCATCTTGGCATCTTGGCTACCCTTCCCATTTCATAGACTCTGCCTTCTCATGTGCTAAACGTAATTTCTTCTCTCCCAAACTCTCTACTCCTGGGAACTCTTCTGTCCTCTGCCTTCCCTACATTTCCGGTCTTTCTAATCTCAACAATTCTCTCCGTCCCTTAGATATCAAGCTTACTTTCCACCAGACTAACACTCTTCGCACTAATCTCGTTCATACCTCTCCTCCCTCTACAGATGTTCCTGGTGTCTACTCTATTTCTTGCTCCTCCTGTCCTCTTCAATACTTTGGAGAAACTGGCCAATCTCTTTCTGATAGACTTAGGGAGCACAAAAATAGTGTTAGGCTTGCCGACACTAACAATACTCTGTTCTGTCACGTCAGAGATCACAGCCATCCTATTGACTGGTCTTCCGCTAAAACTGTCTTCCCTACTTCCAACTCTAACAGTCGCCGTCTAGTTGAATCCTCTCTAATATACAACTTTCCTTGTATGAATCATAGTCCTGGCCTCGTCTCTATAGATGCCTTCCTCTCCCACTACATTGTAAAATGCTCCAAACTTCAGAACACCCGTGACTTAACCTGATTCCTTATTTTTTCTTCTTCTCCCTTTTCCCCTTTCCTCTTTCCTTTTTTGTCTTTCTTCTGTCGCGTGTTTCTGTTCCTTCATTATTTATTTCATCACTTCCCCTTCCCCCCACCTCTGTGCAAATGCTCTCCCTCTGTGGGCACCTAGCTCCATTGCAGTGCTCCCCTTTCTTTGTATTTGACTGGCTCCTCTTCCTTAATTCCCCACTACTACCACTACCACTACTACTACTACTACCACTACTACTTCCACCACTACCTCTTCCTGCCTATATATAGCCATCCTGCTCCACTTCTGGTTAGTGTGACTTTGTAAATGGTCCAAGTCGGACCGAAACATCGTCGTAAGCTCATCTCTTCTATGTGTGGGTTATTTATGTATTGTATAACATAGCAGTTGTCCCCCAAGGAGAGTAATTCAAGGGAGACAAAATTCAACTAGGTGATTAGGTAAGCCTAAGTGGTACAGAAACTTTTTGATAGCAACTCATATCAATTCATTTGGTGGAAAAATAGGTGAAAAGAAATGTTTGCAATTATCATATCTACAGATCAGTGATAAGTTATTAACTGGTTCAAAAGTGCTCCATTTTTAAGCCATTTAAGTCATTTTAAGTTAGACACATACTATTTAGTTCTTTTGCTGTGCTATAATGTTCCTTCCATTCTCAAGTAGATTCCCATTTTCTATGCTAAATTGAAAGTCTATTGGTCTGGAACCCACTCACAGCCAAGTCACAGGAGCTGGTATGGGAAAGGTGGTAGTCTCATAGTTTGTTGAATCACAGACAAAATGATCCTTGAAGGTGTAGCATTTTATGCAGTACTCTGGTTCTGATGAACCCCTCAGAAATTCTACCAACAATACCTTAAACTGGAGGAGGCACCTGAAACTTAAAGGCACATATTTCCATGTGCCATAACACCTATACAAGAAAGTTTTGTTAAATATGAATGCTTTTAAGAACCATTAGCAATAGTCTGGATAACCAGGATGTAAAAGAAGAAGATTTCTTTTGACAGTCTCTGAATGAAGCCATACATTTTGAGAACAGATGGTAAATATTTAGCCTGCCTGCTACATAGACAAACATCCTTAGACAATCACTGAGAACAACTTGTACATATCTATACTTGTAGCTAAAGCAATGCTCAGATTTAAAGATCCATCTCAACAAAGACTGAAGAGTCCCCACCTAGTCATTTTGGTATAATACTAACTTTTGTTTATATTGGTATGTACCATGTCACACCATTATTAAAACTACATATGCAAATCCATTAGAGAATAGAAGGTGGTAGAAGGTCACACAGAATAGTAAGTGGTAGGAATGTCCAAAATTGATGATTTAAGAGTAAAACCGAGTAGGTCATGAGAACCAAAACAGAAATATTATAAAAGTTGCCCTTAAACAATATACCTTACTTGTAGGTATGTAATTATTTCTTGTTTTGCAATCTTTGGTGCTTAATATTCCTTATCATAACCAACTTCAGTACATTCAGAAACCCTGAAATGATTAATGCAAAACATTAAAAACTTGCAATTATGAATATTGCTGATACTCACCTGGACTTTCTGAGTGCATGATTATTGATACACTCTTCAAGATGGCCACCAGTAGGTGTGGTAGGTTGACTGTGCGTATGGAGGCTTGTCTGTGTTGAAATTTCACAATGATCTGTTACCTCTGCTAACCTGACATCTGTTTTACAAAATAACTTCAATAATTATATTTTTTTGGATGAATATAAAAATTTTATTACCATTATAATATTTACAAAAAAAAATCAGACTAAATATCAAAGAAATATCTAAGAAATACTGCATATGACAAATTTATTACATAAAAAAAAAGCCATCTCCCACTAAGGAACAGTGTCCTGAAAAAAAAAAAAGAAACACTTGCAACATCACTCAGTCTATCACTGTCTTGTTAAAGGTGTGCTAACATTGCAGCTCTGATGCCCCTCAAAACTGCAATATCCCCATCCTTCCTTCAGAGTGCAGGCACTGTACTTCCTACCTCCAGGACTCGTGTCTGGCTAACTGGTTTCTCTGAATCCTTTCATAAATGTTACCTTCCTCGCACTCCAACAACATGTCATCATAAAAATCATTTGCCTCCACTCAATTCTAACACACACACATGCCTATTGGATGTCCAAGCCCCTCACATACAAAACCTTCCCCTTCCCCCTCTATATATCTACAGTATGTACAGTATATTCAACAGATTTTCTACAGTCCTGAATAGTCATTTGCCATTAATATTCTGAAAATTATTTCTATCTTCCCATTCTTCCTGGCAGTGTCCTTCTACTTAACCTTTTGACGGTCCATGCCGTAGATTTACGGCTTTACGTTGAGGGTCCAAACTGTAGACCTACGTCATAAGCTCTGCTCACTCTGATAAGCTGTGAGCGGTAAATTTTGGCCTAGATATGAGAGAATACATATATATGGTATGTATGCACCACATAAAACAAATCCTGCAGCACATAGTGCATAATGAGAGGAAAAAAAACTGAGACCGTAATTTTCGATTAAAACGGTGACTTTGCAGTGTTTTTTCGTATGTTTTTTAGAGTTGTATTTGCGATTTCTTGGTCTCATTTGATAGAATGGAAGATATATTACAGAAATAGAGATGATTTTGATTGGTTCTTGTAGTGGAAATGGCTTGAAACTGAGCTCAAAGTAGCGGAAATGTTAAATGTTTGCCGATGTTCAAGAGTAAACAAATGACCTCATACGTCTAATACATGCCAGCTGGTGGGTCTAATATACGTTCATAAATGTGGTGATATTATTTATACAATTACTACAGTATTGCATAATAGTAAATCTTCTATTTTTTGGTGTGAATAAAAATTCATTATGTGAATAAAAAATTAAAATGGAATTCATTAGTAAAGCCTGAAAACGTAACTAATGAACAGAGGAAATGTTAGTTTAGTGCCAGGAATGCCTGCATTGTTTATTCTGGACCCTACTCTGAAATTGGAGTATTTTGAACTTTGCATTAAATTGGCCAAATTACCAATTTCCAATCACTTTATTTTGTAGTTGAAACAGTTGACTTGGCAAATTCTTGTGCTCAGTCGATAGAACAGAAGTAATACTAGTGAAATAGATAAGAATTTAGTCAACTGGAATAATGTAATTGGCCTAAAATGGGAGTCAAAGTCAGCAAAATTGCCGATGCGTAAAATATCGCTGACACATGAAAACTCGCGAGAGAACAATTTCGTCAATTTTCCATCAAATTTCGTACTTTTTGCTTTATTACCTTCAGAAAAAGATTCTCTACCATTTCATAAGAAAAAATAACAAAATTATTTTTTGAAAATTCTTGGACACTGGTGCACCCTTTAAAATTTGGCCTCTGGACCCTGAAAGGATTAATTCTTTATTTAGCAGTTTCCTATACTACCTCAAATCTAGACTCTCCAGTTTAAAACACATTAAACAGAGTTGCATAAAACATGGAGGTAACCAAGTTAACTTCTTTATTTTTAACACCTTAACTTTTTATAAAGTTAATTGAAGGCCTCATGGGCAACAGCTTAGCATAAAGCCAGGGACATACACAAACATTGTGGAAGTGGATTATTTAACTAATAAAATTCATTTTTGGGTGAAACGTCTGTTCATTTGATCGTCAAAATTGTTAGTCTATGAACCACCATGAATGTAATTCCTGAATATGTGTTTCATCATACAGTACATTATTTACAAAATAAAAAACTGTACACATAGTGCAATTAAACCACAACAGCTAGCTGATATAAAGCCTATGAAGTAACCCAAGAAGTAAAGAAACTAATATTGATATATGAAGACAGCGCCAAGTTTAAATAAGATATCACCCCAGTCGACACTAAATGCAGGCTGGGGAAAGTTATGGCCTTCTGTGGTTAATTCTTTCACTGGTTTTTCCTTGTTTGAGAGTCAGGTTCAGGAAATTGTTCAGATGGCAAGGAGATTACCAGGTGACGGTTTTGAAGATATGAATGAAGATGTGACTGAGCTCTTAGAAGATGATGATAATGAAGACCGGAGTCCAGGGAAGTGTTGGCAGAGCTCAAAGCACAGATACAAGGAGGCAGATAACAGAAGATGAAAAACCTGAAGAAAAACAGTTAACATTGCAGCAGTTATGTGAGCAGTTCTATACTGCTGCTAAACTAGCAGACTTTTTCACTGAAAAGGACCCTGACAAATCTAGAAGCAGTGCTTTGAAATGGGGTCTAGACCAGCTGATGATGCAATGTATAATGTACTGCAGGGTAAAAGAGCCCAGAGATCCATTACAGAATTTATGCACTCTAAAACAACCATCGACTTCACTACCAGAACCTCTACCATCCACTTCTGTTAACATCCAACAACCATCCACTTCTGTCGACAACCAACAACCATCCACCTCAGTCCAGTAGGGCCACACCATCCATATCCACTCTCTCCAGAATCATTAACAAACACCATTACCCACAATTAAGGTAAGAAATACTATTATTTCTATTGCATTTGTAGTCTAAAGCAGTAATATATCACAACAATGAATTTTTTTTTTTATTATTATCACACCGGCCGATTCCCACCAAGGCAGGGTGGCCCGAAAAAGAAAAACTTTCACCATCATTCACTCCATCACTGTCTTGCCAGAAGGGTGCTTTACACTACAGTTTTTAAACTGCAACATTAACACCCCTCCTTCAGAGTGCAGGCACTGTACTTCCCATCTCCAGGACTCAAGTCCGGCCTGCCGGTTTCCCTGAATCCCTTCATAAATGTTACTTTGCTCACACTCCAACAGCACGTCAAGTATTAAAAACCATTTGTCTCCATTCACTCCTATCAAACACGCTCACGCATGCCTGCTGGAAGTCCAAGCCCCTCGCACACAAAACCTCCTTTACCCCCTCCCTCCAACCCTTCCTAGGCCGACCCTACCCCGCCTTCCTTCCACTACAGACTGATACACTCTTGAAGTCATTCTGTTTCGCTCCATTCTCTCTACATGTCCGAACCACCTCAACAACCCTTCCTCAGCCCTCTGGACAACAGTTTGGTAATCCCGCACCTCCTCCTAACTTCCAAACTACGAATTCTCTGCATTATATTCACACCACACATTGCCCTCAGACATGACATCTCCACTGCCTCCAGCCTTCTCCTCGCTGCAACATTCATCACCCACGCTTCACACCCATATAAGAGCGTTGGTAAAACTATACTCTCATACATTCCCCTCTTTGCCTCCAAGGACAAAGTTCTTTGTCTCCACAGACTCCTAAGTGCACCACTCACTCTTTTTCCCTCATCAATTCTATGATTCACCTCATCTTTCATAGACCCATCCGCTGACACGTCCACTCCCAAATATCTGAATACGTTCACCTCCTCCATACTCTCTCCCTCCAATCTGATATTCAATCTTTCATCACCTAATCTTTTGTTATCCTCATAACCTTACTCTTTCCTGTATTCACCTTTAATTTTCTTCTTTTGCACACCCTACCAAATTCATCCACCAATCTCTGCAACTTCTCTTCAGAATCTCCCAAGAGCACAGTGTCATCAGCAAAGAGCAGCTGTGACAACTCCCACTTTGTGTGTGATTCTTTATCTTTTAACTCCACGCCTCTTGCCAAGACCCTCGCATTTACTTCTCTTACAACCCCATCTATAAATATATTAAACAACCACGGTGACATCACACATCCTTGTCTAAGGCCTACTTTTACTGGGAAAAAATTTCCCTCTTTCCTACATACTCTAACTTGAGCCTCACTATCCTCGTAAAAACTCTTCACTGCTTTCAGTAACCTACCTCCTACACCATACACTTGCAACATCTGCCACATTGCCCCCCTATCCACCCTGTCATACGCCTTTTCCAAATCCATAAATGCCACAAAGACCTCTTTAGCCTTATCTAAATACTGTTCACTTATATGTTTCACTGTAAACACCTGGTCCACACACCCCCTACCTTTCCTAAAGCCTCCTTGTTCATCTGCTATCCTATTCTCCGTCTTACTCTTAATTCTTTCAATTATAACTCTACCATACACTTTACCAGGTACACTCAACAGACTTATCCCCCTATAATTTTTGCACTCTCTTTTATCCCCTTTGCCTTTATACAAAGGAACTATGCATGCTCTCTGCCAATCCCTAGGTACCTTACCCTCTTCCATACATTTATTAAATAATTGCACCAACCACTCCAAAACTATATCCCCACCTGCTTTTAACATTTCTATCTTTATCCCATCAATCCCGGCTGCCTTACCCCCTTTCATTTTACCTACTGCCTCACGAACTTCCCCCACACTCACAACTGACTCTTCCTCACTCCTACAAGATGTTATTCCTCCTTGCCCTATACACGAAATCACAGCTTCCCTATCTTCATCAACATTTAACAATTCCTCAAAATATTCCTTCCATCTTCCCAATACCTCTAACTCTCCATTTAATAACTCTCCTCTCCTATTTTTAACTGACAAATCCATTTGTTCTCTAGGCTTTCTTAACTTGTTAATCTCACTCCAAAACTTTTTCTTATTTTCAACAAAATTTGTTGATAACATCTCACCCACTCTCTCATTTGCTCTCTTTTTACATTGCTTCACCACTCTCTTAACTTCTCTCTTTTTCTCCATATACTCTTCCCTCCTTGCATCACTTCTACTTTGTAAAAACTTCTCATATGCTAACTTTTTCTCCCTTACTACTCTCTTTACATCATCATTCCACCAATCGCTCCTCTTCCCTCCTGCACCCACTTTCCTGTAACCACAAACTTCTGCTGAACACTCTAACACTACATTTTTAAACCTACCCATACCTCTTCGACCCCATTGCCTATGCTCTCATTAGCCCATCTATCCTCCAATAGCTGTTTATATCTTACCCTAACTGCCTCCTCTTTTAGTTTATAAACCTTTACCTCTCTCTTTCCTGATGCTTCTATTCTCCTTGTATCCCATCTACCTTTTACTCTCAGTGTAGCTACAACTAGAAAGTGATCTGATATATCTGTGGCCCCTCTATAAACATGTACATCCTGAAGTCTACTCAACAGTCTTTTATCTACCAATACATAATCCAACAAACTACTGTCATTTCGCCCTACATCATATCGTGTATACTTATTTATCCTCTTTTTCTTAAAATATGTATTACCTATAACTAAACCCCTTTCTATACAATGAATTACAGTTACATATTCACTTTTATTTTCCTAAGATCTGTTTGGTCTAAAATTGAGTTGTTTGACTTTTTGGGGGCTCCTAGGAATGTAACCCTATTTTTCCCATAAGTTCTTCAGTTCAGCTAACATGATTTTACCTAACATGGCATTTTCAGGAACGTAACTACCATGTTAACCCTTTGAGGGTCGACAGGCCCTCTCCAAGACTTGTTCTCAGGGTCAGCCAAATTTCAAAAAAAAAAAAAAAAAAAAAAAAAAAAAAAAAAAAAATATTTTTTCATATGAAAAGGTAGAGAATATTTTCCCGATCATAATGACACCAAAAGTATGAAATCTGATGGAAAACTTATGGAATTATGCTCTCGCGAAGTTAGCGGTCTCGACGATGTTTACGCATCTGCGATTTTGCCCACTTTGAGACCTATTTTCGGCCAATTCCTGTGTACTAGTTGACAAAAATCATAACTATTTCTCTAGAACTCCATTTTTTCTATTGAATGAGTACAAGAAACCACCCATTTACTGATTTCAACTATCCAATACAGTGGTCAGAATTTAGAAATTTTGCCAATTTCACACAAATTTCAAAAGATGCCAATTTCCAAATAGGGTCCAGAATAAACAAGAAAGACATTCCTGGCACTAAAATAACATTTCCTCTGTTCGTTAGTCACATCCCCAGGCCCCTCTTGTATTTCTTTGGTTTTCCACTTTCAATTTTTATTCTTACAAAAAATAGAAGATTTACTGTTATGCAGACTACTGCATTAGTGTAGAAATGGTATAAATAATATCAGCGCACTTGTGAAAGAATATCAGACTCACCAGTTGACGTGTATTGGACGCTTGGCATGATTTGTTTACTTTTGAACTTTGGTAAAAATCTAACATTTCTGCTACTTTGAGCTCAATTTCAAGGTACATTTCATTGTAAAATCAATCAAAATCATCTCAATTTCTGTAATATGTCTTCCATTCTATAAAATGAGACCAAGAAAACTAGAATACAATAATAAATACCATACAAAAATACAGTGCAAAGTCGCTGTTTTATTCCAAAAACACGGTCAGTTTTTTTTCTCATTATGCACTGTGTGCTGCAGGATTTTTTTTATACTGCGCACACTGACCACATAGACTCATTCTTTCATATGTATGTCTACCAGTTTTCTCCCACTAGATTAGAGGGCGCTAGAATTTATGCGTACTAGTACGTCAAAAACCATGAGTCGTAAGCCATACTAGTACGGCCGAAGCCGTCAAAGGGTTAAATGATGGTCTACTGTAATTGCAAAGAAGGCCACTAGCATGCCTAGGCATTTCGGGCAGACTAATACTAATTCTTAGGAATTATTAGGAATTTTATGTTTACAGTCATTTGGGTGCCCACTAGTGCCAGTACGCCCGTTGCTACCAATAAAATACAAATTTATAGATGAAATGTGTAGTCTTGGAGATTGCTTGATGTTGAGATGCATCACTAACCCCTTTACAATGAACTTTTGTGCTTCCATTTTCCTCATTCTTCCTCTTCCAAGTGCTGCTGCACTTCTAACTATCTTGTACTGTGGGGGTGCACAATAAAGTACAAATTTGTACAAATATGTAGTCTTGGAAACTGTGAAAGCTAGTGTACTGAGTGGCTGTAAGAAGATTGAAATGCTTGACACTGAGCTGTCCATTTCCATGATCCAAGTTCTCATACAGCAAACAATACCAACTCATCGAAGAGCCCATCATAACTCCGAGTTGTTGGTAAATGAGTATGTCGGTAAGTGAGGAGAGGCTGCATTTGTCCAACCTGTCTTCAGTCTACCCAAAATTTGTTTTCAACATAACTTGTCTGACTCTTCTATAGCAGCTCCTCTGAGTTGCTTAAGAAAGATGCTCCTTTCATTTGGACCTTCCACCAAGAAAGAGTATTTCAATCTCTCAAAGAAAAGTTAACTTGTTCCCCTATTTTGAAATTCCCAGATTTTTCTAAGCCTTTCTATTTAACAATTGATACTAGCTCTATTGGCATAGGTACTGTCCTAGCTCAGAAGACCAATAGGAAGTACAACATAGTTGCATTTGCTAGTTGAGTCATTACAAAGGCTGGGATTATCTAAGTAGTAATACTACACAAGTACACAGTAACACTACTGACAAAAGAATGGCATTATAATGCTTTTGTGCCTTTCTCCATCTTGTCAATATATTATGCTATTTCTCTTCAAAAACAGCTCCTTTAAATATCACTGTCTCACTGCATAGCAAAGGACTGTTTCAAATATACTAGGTTAAAAGTTTCTATTTTACTAAAAAAAAAATAAAAAAAAAAAAGGTTATTTTTCCCAAGAAATGCTTTATAATATACTATACTGTATTCCACTTATTCAACAGAAAATAAAATTTATTATGCAAACCTTTGTCCTTCGTGAAGGGCTGCTACCATTGGAGTGGGTCTTATCTTGATCACTCTCCATCCTAAACCACAACAAAAAATTATTTTATTTTCACCTTTATGAGTCATTAAGTGACCTAAAGTCATCTGAGGAAAAAACTAAATACTGGTAGCAGTGTTGCTAGCACTTAAGGAGGGATCCTGCACAAGCTACTTCTGCTATGATTGAAATAAGACACATAATTCAAGTACCTTTTTACCACTCTGACTATTTCCCACTAAAGTAGGGTGACAGAAATGAAAACATTATAATCATTCATTCAATATGATATGACTTCATGATATGGACTTCAATTTAGCATTAAAAGCATGCTCAAGAAGCATTATTAAGTTACAGGCAGAATTCTACAAGTATAATTTAGGACAGTTCACTATTAAACAGTTTTTAAAATTTACTGTATCAGAGTAGATAAAAAAAAAAAACTTTAAGGAAAATATATCCTAAGGCTGTTTGAATATTTCACTTTTACTGTCGTATCTTTCATAAATGCACAAAAAAGTGCAGTGGACCCTCAGCTGTCCAGGATATTGGCCAACTAGGTCATTGCACGGTATTTTGGCCGAAATTTTATTCCGGTTATCAGCCGTTATTTCACTTATCGGCCATATTAGACACATCCACCCACCGCCCGCCAGCCACTCGCGCATTCATGAGTCAGTGTAGCTGTTTCTCTGGGCGAGTGAGAAAACTTCTGCTCATTCATCCAAACATTTTGCTATAATCCATTGTTTTTTGTGGTTTTTGATTGAGTGCAACTGCGAAATAAGCAGCCATGGGCCCAAAGGAAGTTCTTGGTAAAGTTCCTTTGGTAAAGAAAGTGAGAAACACGATGGAATTTAAGAAAGAGGTTATTGAAAAATATGAGAGTGGTGTGCGGGTGCTGGAACTTGCCAGGATATATGGGAAATCCAAATCAACAATTACTTTCATCCTGGCAAAGAAAGTAGAAATCAATGAAGCTAATGTTGCGAAAGGAGTAAATGTTCTAACGAAACAAAGGTCACCAATAATGGAAGATATGGAGAAGTTATTGTTCTTGTGGATCAGCGAAAAACAATTAGCGGAAGACAGTACTGTGGAGTCAATCATTTGTGAAAAGGCAAGGCAGTTGCAGGTGGAAAATGCCTGGAACGAGTGCGGCTGTTAGTGAATTTAGGGCCAGCAAAGGCTGGTTTGACAGATTTAAGAGGCGTAGTGGCATACACAATGTTGTAAGGCATGGCAAGGCTGCAAGTTCTGACAAATGTGCGGCTGAAAAATTTGTGCATGAATTAAAGGAGTACGTAGAGGCTAAAGGATTCCTCTCCCAACAAGTGTTCAATTGTGATGAAACAGGCCTCTTTAGCAAGAAAATGCCAAAGAGGACCTACATTTCGCAGGAGGAAAAGGCATTGCCATTACACAAGCCTATGAAAGACAGGCTTACTCTTTTGCTCAGTGGTAACGCTAGTGGGGATTTCAATGTGAAGCCTTTACTGGTGTATCACTCCGAAAATCCCAGAGTGTTCAAGAAAAACAATATCGTCAAGAGTAAATTGTGTGTGATGTGGAAAGCTAATAATAAAACATGGGTCATGAGGCAAATTGTCAAAGAGTGGGTTCATGATGTGTTTGGCCCAAGTGTAAAAAAATACCTCCTGGAAAAGAAATTGCCACTCAAGTGCCTCCTGGTAATGGACAAGAACAGTGAAGTTCTTGCCTCCTAACACCACTCCTCTCTTCCAGCCCATCGGCCAGCAGATCATTTCTAATTTCAAAAAACTCTACACGAGAGCAGTGTTTCAAAGGTGCTTTGAAGGGGCCTCAGGCACTGACTTGACCCTAAGAGAGTTCTGGAAGAATCACTTCAATATCCTCCATTGCATAAGCCTTATAGGTAAGGCTTGGCAGGGAGTGACTTCCAGGACTTTGAACTCCGCTTGGAGAAAATTGTTGTCAGAATGTGTCCTCGATAAGGCTTTTGAAGGGTTTGGGGCTGACCCTGAGGACCCTACTCCTGTTGTGGAATATATTGGGTCTTTGGGAAAGTCCATGGGGTTGGAGGTTAGTGGCGAGGATGTGGAAGAGTTGATGGAGGACCACAGGGAAGAGCTAACCACTGAAGAGCTGCAAGACCTTCATCTGGAACAACAGACCACAGGTGAGGAAATTGCTTCAGAGGAGGAGGAAGAGACAGGGGAGAAGGTGCCTTCTACAATGATTAAGGACATTTGGGCAAAGTGGAATGAGGTGCAAACTTTTGTGGAGAAATATCACCCTGACCAAGCTGAAACAAGCCATATCTGCAACATGTTCAGTGACAAACTTTGTCCCACTTCAGGGAAATCTTAAAGAGACGCCAGAAACAGACGTCTCTGGACAGTTTTTTTGTGCGAAAGATTTGCAGTGACTCTCAAGCTGGTCCTAGTGGCAGTAAAAGACAAAGAAGGGATGTAACCCCAGAGAAGGCTTTGATACCTGAAGTCCTTATGGTAGGGATTCCCCTTCCAAACAGTAATCAGTCCTTCCCTTATCCTCCTCCCTGGCTTCCATGCCAAGAGTCTTTAATAAAGGTATGTAGTAGTGATTTAAATGTTCATTTATTTTATTTAGTTCTCATTGTTTTGTGTATGTAAAACTATAATTAATCTTTAAAAAATGTATTTTTGTTAATATTTTTGGGTGTCTGGAACGGATTAATTGTAATTACGTACATTAATTCTTATGGGAAATATTATTTCGGTTATTGGCCATTTCGGTTTTAGGCCGAGCTTCTGGAACAGATTACAGCTGATAACTGAGTGTCCACTGTACATTTTATTGTTTAATATGATGCAATGTATTTATTTACTCTTTAATACTGTACAACTTTGAATTAAGTTGCCCAGGATCAAATGAGATTTTAGACAATGAAGAATTAGCAGTTTCTAAGACAGCCATTACTCTCTGATATTCTGCAATGTGTCCAAAAGAACAAAAAATATGAACCATTTGTGAAAGCAAAACTTCAAAAAGCAGATCAAGATATTTGTTATAAGTTAATTGGTGGGGGAGAGGCTGCAAAAGTAACTAGCTGATAAAAAGTCACTATGGCCTCTGTACAGTTTGCTGTAGTGTCTTTTTATCAAGCCATTTTGTGCACAATACCTAAAGCTGATTAAAAACCTGAGACTAATAACCACATGTGACAGAATTTCTGCACAAATACTTTTGTATGCCCAGGCTACAAGGCAAGAAAGTGTACGGACGCTACCTGAGGTTAAGGCAAAACAATATGTGACATACAATTATGTAATGAGTAATATTACATTTTTAGCTTTCAGCTGTTTGCAGCAATGACAAGTATACAATGAAAACTAAAAGTAACTTAATTCTTTATACCATTCTTTAGCTTTACTTCAAAAATATCAACTTCTATATCTATGAAAATAATACAGGGTTACAGCAAAAACTAGTTTGTTTCTTACATGTTAGCATGATGAACAGATGGCAGCTTGCTAAGTAAATTTACAATAGCCAGACACAATCTTCATTACCACTAGACTGTAATAAACCTATATACAAAAATGTATACACAGAAAATATCTGCTAGTATCTGTTATTTCTTAAGGATTATGGGGATCATGACTACTACAGCCCAGTCTCAGATCAGACCTTCTAAATTGTTAAGGAAATATTATAGAAACAAGGGCTATTAAGAGACACAGAAAAGTAAAAGTAAGTGTATACTGAATGCAAGTAAGGCAATGTAGGAATTTGTAACATTTACCTTCTTCTTACGTGTTCATGAGACAGAAACTGAAGATAAGAAATCCTGCCAGGATGCAAGAGGATAAATAAATACCCATTACACACTTGTATGACTGGGTGGTAGTATGTACCTCCCTCCAGGGATGGTTGCTGTCTCCCAAATGTTTTTAACATACAGAATTAAAAATAACAAAAGCATACAATGTACAAAAGTAAATACAAACCCAGGAAGATTGTCATATGATCTAATTAGATCAGTAGCTGATCTAGACAGGAAGGAGAGCCGCGAAAGGTTTAGATGTGATTTATTTCCCTCTTTTCTTAGTCTAGCTGCTTCTTGGGGATCATTATAACGGAACATGTGACTCCCTCCTAGCACCACTACACAACCTGCAACATGGAGTTGATCACATACCATTTTAATATAATTTTATTTTACATTACTTATAATATGTGGCTGATGAAATGAGATACATACAGTATAACTGTCTAATATGACTAATTCAGTTGTATCACCAACCTTGTGTGAGTTTCCTTGGTTTGTCAACAAACTCAGAATTAACCCAACACTGGGCATCAGGTTTGGACTCCAATGTCGCTGAACCATCATGAAGCTCAATGGTACAGTGCTCCTCTAATACTTCCCCACCCTGTAGCCAAAGGTACAGTAACATACATTTTACTCAAATATAAATATACCTAAGGCATATACAATGTCATTATACAGGTAAAATAAAAAATCTCATATGACAAAATTATGGGACAAGAATGCAAATTAATACAATAACTTAGCAAATAGGATAAAAGAGCTTACCAGTTCTTGTGCATTAATTTGATGAATGTTTCATTTACTTTTCTAAATATTTAATTTACTTTCTTAAATATTTAATGTTACCAAAAAAGCAAAAATACACCAATAAGATCAAAAGCACAATACAGTAGTACATCGGTACTCAAACAGCTTCCAACTCAAACAATACGGTATTCGAACGCTTTGCTTGGTAAAAAAATCGCTCAGTAGTTAGCCGTTTGCTTGGCACTCAACCACACAAACACAGCCTGCTGCCGAGAAATACGTCAGTGAGTTTAGTGACTATGTAGAAGCTGAGGGTTTTATTTCCCAACAAGTGTTCAATGGTGATGAGACAGGTTTATTTTGGAAAAAAAAATGCCAAACAGAACCTATATCGCTCGAGAGGAGAAGTCATTGCCAGGACACAAGCCAATGAAGGACAGATTCACTTTTGTTGTGTGGGAATGCAAGTAGTGATTTAAAAGTGAAGCCTTTACTTGTCTATCACTAGGATAGACAAGCACTGTATTTAGTTTTTTATTTTTTACATTTATGCATGCTAGGCTTGTAAACTTTGCGTTAAAATGCCTTTGTAAGTGTATTTTTAGAGGTCTGAAACAGATTAATCTAATTTACATTATTCCTTATAGGAAAAATTTGTTCGGTACTCAAACAGCCTTTTGGAATGAATTAAGTTCGAGTACCAAGGTACTACTGTGTATGAACACTACTGTATATGAACAATAATTGATGTTAGCAAGGGGCTAGTTACCCCCTTCTCCTGTATAAATTACTAAATTTAAAAAGAGAAACTTTCGTTTTTCTTTTTGGGCCACCCTGCCTTGGTGGGATATGGCCAGTTTGTTGAAAGAAAGAAGCTCCAATTCTAACTGAAACAAAACTTAATGTGAAAGACTTCCTATCTTACCTGAGTAATCATGCAAAAATTACAATATTTTTATGCACAATTTGAAAATACCAAATATTTATATAGAAAATGATAAAAAATTTCCATTAATATTACAAAATTTAGATGATCATTTTTTCCACTTCCTTGTGAACTTATACAGTGGACCCCCGCTTAACGATCACCTCCAAATGCGACCAATTATGTAAGTGTATTTATGTAAGTGCGTTTGTACGTGTATGTTTGGGGGTCTGAAATGGACTAATCTACTTCACAATATTCCTTATGGGAAAAAATTCGGTCAGTACTGGCACCTGAACATACTACTGGAATGAAAAAAGTTCGTTAACCGGGGGTCCACTGTATATCAAAAGAGGATACGTTCAAGCAAATAAATAGATAACCATTTTTAATATTTCATCATGATCCAAAATACCTAAATATACTGCTTGAAACAATGACCAGCAAATCTTAAAGACAATATGCTAGGCTTATGAATTTCCCCATTAGAGGCTTGGGAAGAATGAAAACATGATTCTTGGACTGGAAAATGCACTGTTAGAAAAAATTAAAGAAAAATTGACCTGTAGCATTTCAATATGATGCTGACTGGCACAATCATTGCTAACTGCTATTTTCACCTTCTAAACGGCCTTTCGCTATGAATGTTTCAGCACTTCAAACCACGTGGAAATGCTTAGCCCAACATTGCTCCACTTGGAATATACAATACACATTTTTTTTTTTTCAACAAGTCGGCCATCTCCCACCAAGGCAGGGTGACCCAAAAAAGAAAATCCCCAAAAAGAAAATACTTTCATCATCATTCAACACTTTCACAACACTCGCACATTATCACTGTTTTTTGCAATACAACAGTTTAGAAGCATACACATATAAAGATACACAGCATATCCCTCCAAACTGCCAATATCCCAAACCCCTCCTTTAAAGTGCAGGCATTGTACTTCCCATTTCCAGGACTCAAGTCCGACTATATGAAAATAACCGGTTTCCCTGAAATCCCTTCACTAAATATTACCCTGCTCACACTCCAACAGATCATCAGGTCCCAAGTACCATTCGTCTCCATTCACTCCTATCTAACACGCTCACGCACGCTTGCTGGAAGTCCAAGCCCCTTGCCCACAAAACCTCCTTTACCCCCTCTCTCCAACCCTTTCGAGGATGACCCCTACCCCGCATTCCTTCCCCTATAGATTTATATGCTTTCCATGTCATTCTACTTTGATCCATTCTCTCTAAATGACCAAACCACCTCAACAACCCCTCTTCTGCCCTCTGACTAATACTTTTATTAACTCCACATTTTTCCTAATTTCCACAATCCAAATTTTCTGCATAATATTTACACCACACACTGCCCTTAAACAGGACATCTCCATTGCCTCCAACCGTCTCCTCACTGCTGCATTTACCACCCAAGCTTCACACCCATATAAGAGTGTTGGTACTACTATACTTTCATACATTCCCTTCCTTGCCTCCATAGATAACGTTTTTTGACTCCACATATACCTCAACGCACCACTCACCTTTTTTCCCTCATCAATTCTATGATTAACCTCATCCTTCATAAATCCATCCGCCGACACGTCAACTCCCAAGTATCTGAAAACATTTACTTCTTCCATACTACTCCTCCCCAATTTGATATCCAATTTTTCTTTATCTAAATCATTTGATTCCCTCATCACCTTACTCTTTTCTATGTTCACTTTCAATTTCCCTACCTTTACACACATTCCCAAACTCATTCCACTAACTTTTGCAATTTTTCTTTAGAATCCCCCATAAGCACAGTATCATCAGCAAAAGTAACTGTGTCAATTCCCATTTTGAATTTGGTTCCCCAAAATTTAATCCCCCCCCTCTCCCGAACACCCTAGCATTTACTTCCTTTACAACCCCCATCTATAAATATATTAAACAACCTTGTTACATTTCAATCCCTTCTAAGACCTACTTTTAACGGAAGTATTCTCCTTCTTCTACACACCATAACCTAAAGCCCACATCCTATAAAAAACTCTTTACCATTTAATAACTTACCAACCTTTTCCCAAAATTTCAGTGGACCCCGCAAAACGATCACCTCCATGCGACCAATATGTAGTGTATTATGTAAGTGCGTTTGTACGTGTATGTTTGGGGGTCTGAAATGGACTAATCTACTTCACAATATTCCTTATGGGAATAAATTCGGTCAGTACTGGCACCTGAACATACTTCTGGAGAGAAAAAATATTGTTAACCGGGGGTCCACTGTACTTGCAACATCTGCCACATTGCTCCTCTATCCACTCTATCATATGCCTTTTCTAAATCCATAAATGCAATAAAAACTTCCCTACCTTTATCTAAATACTGTTCACATATATGCTTCAATGTAAACACTTGATCTACACATACCCTACCCACTCTGAAACCTCCTTGCTCATCCGCAATCTACATTCTGTCTTACCTCTAATTCTTTCAATTATAACCCTACCGTACACTTTTCCTGGTATACTCAGTAAACTTATTCCTCTAATTTTTACAGTCCTTTTGTCCCCTTTCCCTTTATATAAAGGACTATACATGCTCTCTGCCAATCCCAAGGTACCTTCCCTCTCTTTCATACATTTATTAAACAAAAGTACCAACCACTCCAACACTATATCCCCCCTGCTTTTAAACATTTCTGTCATGATCTCATCAGTTCCAGCTGCTTTACCCCCTTTCATTTTATGTAATCCCTCGCGCACCTCCCCCACACTTACATTCTGCTCTTCTTCACTCCTAAAAGATGGTATACCTCCCTGACCAGTGCATGAAATTACTGCCTCTGTTTCTTCCTTAACATTTAAAAGTTCCTCAAAATATTCTCGCCATCTACCTAATACATCCATCTCCCCATCTACTAACTCCCCTACTCTGTTTTTAACTGACAAATCCATACTTTCCCTAGGCTTTCTTAACTTGTTTAACTCACTCCAAAAATTTTTCTTATTTCATTAAAATTTCTTGACAGTGCCTCTCCCACTCTATCATCTGCTCTCCTTTTGCACTCTCTCACCACTCTCTTACCTTTCTTTTACTCTCCATATACTCTGCTCTTCTTATAAACACTTCTGCTTTGTAAAAACCTCTCATAAGCTATCTTTTTCTCTTTATCACACCCTTTACTTCATCATTCTACCAATCACTCCTCTTTCCTCCTGCCCCCACCCTCCTATAACCACAAACTTCTGCCCCACATTCTAATACTGCATTTTTAAAACTATTCCAACCCTCTTCAACCCCCCCCACTACTCATCTTTGCACTAGCCCACCTTCCTGCCAATAGTCGCTTATATCTCACCCAAACTTCCTCCTCCCTTAGTTTATACACTTTCACCTCCCTCTTACTTGTTGTTGCCACCTTCCTCTTTTCCCATCTACCGCTTACTCTAACTGTAGCTACAACTAAATAATGATCTGATATATCAGTTGCCCCTCTATAAACATGTACATCCTGGAGCCTACCCATCAACCTTTTATCCACCAATACATAATCTAATAAACTACTTTCATTACGTGCTACATCATACCTTGTATATTTATTTATCCTCTTTTTCATAAAATATGTATTACTTATTACCAAATCTCTTTCTACACATAGCTCAATTAAAGGCTCCCCATTTACATTTACCCCTGGCACCCCAAATTTACCTACTACTCCCTCCATAACATTTTTACCCACTTTAGCATTGAAATCCCCAACCACCATTACTCTCACACTTGATTTAAAACTCCCCACGCATTCACTCAACATTTCCCAAAATCTCTCTCTCTCCTCTACACTTCTCTTTTCTCCAGGTGCATACACGCTTATTATAACCCACTTTTCACATCCAATCTTTATTTTACTCCACATAATCCTTGAATTAATACATTTATAGTCCCTCTTTTCCTGCCATAGCTTATCCTTCAACATTATTGCTACTCCTTCTTTAGCTCTAACTCTATTTGAAACCCCTGACCTAATCCCATTTATTCCTCTCCACTGAAACTCTCCCACCCCCTTCAGCTTTGTTTCACTTAAAGCCAGGACATCCAGCTTCTTCTCATTCATAACATCCACAATCATCTCTTTCTTATCATCTGCACAACATCCACGCACATTCAGACTTCCCACTTTGACAATTTTCTTCTTATTCTTTTTAGTAATCTTTACAGGAAAAGGGGTTACTAGCCCATTGTTCCCGGCATTTTTAGTTGACTTTTACAACACGCATGGCTTACGGAGGAAAGATTCTTATTCCACTTCCCCATGGATATAAAAGGAAAAGTAATAAGACCAAGAACTATTAAGATAAAATCAAAGAAAACTCAGATGAGTGTGTATAAATAAATGTGTACATGTATGTGTAGTGTGACCTAAGTGTAAGTAGAAGTAGCAAGACATACCTGTAATCTTGCATATTTATGAGACAGACAAAAGACATCAGCAATCCTACCATCATGTAAAACAATCACAAGCATTTGTTTTACACTCACTTGGCAGGACGGTAGTACCTCCCTGGGTGGTTGCTGTCTACCAACCTACTACCTACAACACAATACATGTATATATTGATAAACCTTTTTTTATTCTATATTTTACACTCTGATCTTCTAACACTATGTGCAAGGAATACTTATAATATTACAGCTGCTTCAAGGTATAGTACTCCTTAAAACATGGAAATAAGATGCATTGTTTGACTATATTTGGTTGTCCTAGGCTAATTATTTATGTTAGGTAGTTAGGTTTGAATACCCTGGGTTATATAAACATTGTGTGTCATAACACCTGTGTGCATTCAAGACTCCTATAAAACATATATATAAACAAGAAAATCCTATGATCTTACAATTGTTTCAAGGTGTAATACTTCTTGATACATGAAAATCAGTCACACTGTTTGACTTTATTGGGTTATCCTGGGTTAAATCTACCTAGTGTGCTTTGTGGCTGAATTCTGCAGTTAGTATCGTGAAGGTGCAATAAATTTGCAATGAATAAGTCATCTTCCTACATGTTCCACGCCCTGTTTGCTGGTAGTGGAACAACAACTCCTGATTTCATTGTTATGATAATTAGGCAAGCTACTACATCAGACACACAGTCATCACCTGTGTAGTTAACCACACCGCACTGTGTGGACTCTCTTAGCCGTAGATTTTTTCAAAGGTACAAAGAGATTGCAGAAGACCCAAAGAGTTGTGCCGAGGTCAAAAATATTGACAGATGAGATTTAGGGTATGAAAAATTGTGCATACTAGTACAGTATGTCACACATTAACATCAGCTGCATATTAGCATTCTGGATACAGTTAAAGGGTTAAATCTAAATTTCATATAGCCTATATGTTAGTATGATACTTGATTAAGAAAGACAGTTTGCAGAGTAAGTTTTTCATCTGAAGACATTTTACTCAGTGCTGAGCTTATAAAAATTTGAAAAAAAAAAAAAAAAAAAAAAAAAAAAAAAAAAAAGTAAACTCTATACAGTGGACCCCCGCATAACGATGGCATCACATAGCGATTATTTCGCATACCGCTTACTTTAATTGCAAAAATTTTGCCTCACATACCGCTTAAAAACCCGCTTACCAATTTTCGTCCGAGACGCGTCCAATGTGCGGCCTGAGCCACGCTCACATGTTCCGCCGGTGGCATTGTTTACCAGCCAGCCTCCGCGGTAACATCCAAGCATACAATCGGAATATTTCGTATTATTACAGTGTTTTCGGTGCTTTTTCTGGAAAATAAGTGACCATGGGCCCCAAGAAAGCTTCTAGTGCGAACCCTACAGCAATAAGGGTGAGAATTACAATAGAGATGAAGAAAAAGATCATTGATAAGTATGAAAGTGGAGTGCATGTCTCCGAGCTGGCCAGGTTGTATAATAAACCCCAATCAACCATCGCTACTATTGGTGGTACAGCTGCTGCTGCTGCTGCACTGTCAGCTGCTGCTGCTGCTGCACTGTCAGCTGCTGCTGCTGCTGTAGCACCGTTGTTGGTGTGGCTTATTGAGAATACCAAGAAACAATTAACCCCAGAGGATTTGCCACCCAGGATAACCCAAAAAAGTCAGTGTCATCGAAGACTGTCTAACTTATTTCCATTGGGGTCCTTAATCTTGTCTCCCAGGATGCAACCCACGCAAGTCGACTAACACCCAGGTGAACAGGGAAAAATGCCTGGAACTAGTGCTCATATTGGTGAATTTAAAGCCAGCAAAGGTTGGTTTGAGAGATTTAAGAATCGTAGTGGCATACACAGTGTGATAAGGCCTGTTCTGGAAGAAAATGCCAAACAGGACCTACAGTACTCAGGAGGAAAAGGCACTCCCAGGACACAGTGTCTCATCAGTCATTGCTGCATCTTCAATAAAGGTAAGTGTCATTTATTCTTCATTTAGTAGACTAGTACATGCACAATATATACTGTGCATGTACTACTCTACTATTGTGCATGTATCCTTCTCTTTGTGTGTGGGAAAATGTATATTTCATGTGGTAAAATTTTTTTTTTCATACTTTTGGGTGTCTTGCACGGATTAATTTTATTTCCATTATTTCTTATGGGGAAAATTCATTCACATAACGATTATTTCGCATAACAATTACCCCTCTTGCACGGATTAAAATCGTTAACCGGGGGTCCACTGTATAAATATTTCCAGCACTCAAGTGTACATTTAGGTTAAAGTGTGATATACCCCAACAGCACTAGCTCAAAATTATTTCATATAAAAAGTTATTTAACCCTTAAACTGTCCAAGCAGATTTATGTTCACATGTGTAGTGCTCCAAAAGTAGATCTACGTTTTTTTTTACATATTTTCAAATATAACAAGAAAAAAAACGTAGATCAAAGTTTTTTACACATTTTCAAATGTAAAAAAAGAAAAGAAGATCTACTTTTTATACATACTTTCAAATGTTGAAAAAACGTAGATCTACGTTTGGACAGTTTAGGGTTAATAAAGTAAGAAATTAAAGTTACACTTCCATACCTCCAGTCTAATATCTTGCACTGGTAGGGAACCAATTGTTGTGATTCCGTCATTAAGGTGATAAAGAGTAACACCTGTAGTTAGAAGGTTGTCATCTATCAATACAAGATGTGGTCTATCCGAGTCCAAAACCACACCTTGTCCTACGAGGAATGAAAAAATACTGTAAAATGCAAATAATGAGCAAAATACATTAATCCATATTCAAGAATATATTAAATACATTTTAAAATAGATGCCAATTGCTTCTGCATATTTAGCTCTGTTGAACTTCCCTAAATTGTATTAAAAACTTTAATTACTAATACGTATTCTCTTCTTCCAAGTATAACAGAGTAAAATCTACAAATATTACAACAAAATATTTCATTCCACTGTAACTCTTTACTTTATGTTATTTTTCACCATCCTTTTATTTTCTTTATATCTAGTCTACAAACATGTGGATGCCATTTGGGCAATGAATATCTTACTTTTACTAATTAGTATTACAGGTATCTATTTCATACTGAATCTACAATTCAAATTTCACATTTACTTTGGAAAATAAATCTACACATTCACAAAATACAGTAGCAATTTGATAAACTTAAAGTAGAACAGTGCTACTGAATATAATAAGAATGGGAGTGATGAAGCATAATAAGTCACAATACTGTACACAAAGCAGTTTATAAACAACCCACGCTTTGGAGATGAAACTCCAAGAGCATTATCAAGTCACAACCCAGTTGTGACTTCCTAATGGTCTAGGAGAGACCAAAATGTTATCTGAAAGTTCCTCTCCAAGTATGAATTATATCTCCGAGTGATCAAACAGAGCCCACAAAGACTACTTTTAAACACATCATCCATTTCCCACCAAGGCAAGGTGACCAAAAAAAAAAAAAATTCACTATCACTTATGCTTCAGATGTCTTTCCAGTAGTGCACGGGGACATCATGATCTAATTGCATGTACTTCCTGAATTACGTTATATCCACCCACCCTTCGAAGTCACACTTCCAAAATATATGTAGGCTAGCAAATTATTCTCAGTCCCTTTGCTCACACTCCAGCAGTATATCAAATCCCAAAAAGCAGGTTCAAATCCCAAAAAACAGGTTCTGGAATGGCAGATTAACAGAAAATAAGAAGAGGAAATACAGTAAGTCCTCACTTAATAAGTTGTCGATAGGTTCTTAGAAACCGAGACTTTATGGAAACACTGTATAACGAAACCAATTTAACTACAGGCTAACTGATATGAACATCAGAGATGCACAGCACACTTTTAGCACTCATTGCAACAGGGTTAAATCAAGGAATAAATGTTTGCAAAGCAAAAATTGTAAGGAGCACCTCCTACCACCATGCAGTTCAAAAATGAATATGCAAACTCCACAGAGACAGTGGCCCTGGCCGGGAATCAATTTTTTTCTCATCAATATTATGATGAAATGATGTTGAATGAAATGGTGTTAAGTGAGGACATACTGTATTTAACCCTTTTGCTGTGAAATAGTACTATGATTCAGGTCACTGGCAGTGCCATAGTACTATGCCATGAGCTCAGCTCACTCAGATAAGCTGTGAGCAGTAAATTTAGGTCTAGATATAAGAGAATGGTTTAAAACAGTGACTTTGCAGTGTATTTTCATGTTGTTTTTATGGTTGCATTCCTGGTTCTTGGTCTCATATGATAGAATGGAAGATATATTAAGAGATGCTTCTAATTGGTTTCAGGATTGAAAATAGCTTGAAATTGAGTTCAAATCATGTTGTGTGTTCAATATACAGTAGACCGTTGATTAAGACAGTAGTTACATTCATGAAAATGCAGTGTTAGACGTATCCATGTTAAAGGAACTAAAGAATTATGGGAAAATTAGGGTTACGTTTCTAAGATCCCCCCAAAAAAAGGTCTCCTAATCTTACAGAAATAAAAATGATAATGTAATTATTGTTCATTGTTGTTATGTATGATTTTTCTGTTGTTTAAGGCTACAAATGCAACAGAAATAATATTTATTACCTTAAATTGTGGTTGCTTGTGTTTGTCAATGATTGTGAAGGGGGAGTGGAGACCATGCTGAGGTCCATCTGGGCTGAGGTGGATGGTAGTCCGGTCAGTAAGTCAGTCCAGTCAAGTGAATCAGTAGGTCAGTCAGCCAAGTCAGTAGGTAACTCATTCAAGTCAGCAGGTCACTCATTCAAGTCAGTTAAGCCATTCAGTAAATTAGTTAAGTTGGTCAGTCAAGTTAGTAAGCCATCATTAACTCAGTCAGTCATGTAGAAAGCAGTTAATATATCACTCAACTCATTCAGTAAACCAGTAAGTCAATCAGTAAAGTCAATCAGTAAACCAATCAAGTTGGTCAGTCAAGTAAGCCAGTCAAGTCAGTAAATCATTCAAGTCAGTCAGTCAAGAAAGTCATTCAGTAAATCAGTCAAGTCAGTAGATCAGTCAGTCAAGTAAGTCATTCAGTAAATCAGTCAAGTCAGTAGGTCAGTCAGTCAAGTAAGTAGATCAATCAGTCAAATAAGTCACTCAGTAAATCAGTCAAGTCAGTTGGTCAGTCAGTAATTCAGTAAATCAACTGTCATTAAATAAATCAGTTAAGTCAGTAGGTCAATCAATCAAGTCATTCAGCAAGTCAATCAAGTCAGTAAGCCAGTCAGTAAATCAGTCAAGTCATTTAGTAAATCAGGTCAGTCATTCAGTAAATCAGGTCAGTCATTCAGTAAATCAATCAAGTCAGTAAATGAGATGACAGCCCGGGTTATTCATTGCACAAGCCCATATATTTGCTTCACTCTTTTTAATCAAATGAACTGGCGCTTCATTAAGGCCATAAGCTCTCGCCATGGCCACCACACACGCACCACATTTAAGCTTAAGTAATATCTCGATTTTCTTCATAACTCCAAGACTTGAACGTTTTAACTTTGTCTTGCCACTTCCTGCATCACTTGCATGCCTCCTGGGTGCCATGATTCCTTGGCAGATGCAATGTATGGTAATGAAAAGGCCAAAACCCGATTCACAGACAATCCTAGGTACCAAAATGGAGGTGCATGTACGGAGCATTGGTACGGAGGTGGCAGGGTAGGAAACTAGGGCCTCCCCATAAAAGACAATGGCTTGACCCACAGGCAGACTGCCTAGCACTCACTATACAGGGGAAAATCCCCGCTGTCCAGCTTGTGGCACTGAAATATCTGTTTAAATTGAATTTTACAAAGTGTAAAACAAAAATATGCCGCAATTTAACAATAGTGTAACGAAGAAAACATTTTAAAGGAAACTGTCTTAATGGACTGTCTATTGCATGTCAACTGGTGGATCTAATATGCATTCACGAATGCAATGATATTATTTATACAATTATTACAATACATGTATTGCATAACAGTAAATCTTCTATTTTTGTGTGAATAAAAATTAATTGTGTGAATAAAAAATGAAAATGGAATTCATCTGTAAAGAAATGTTATTTAAGTGCCAGGAATGACTGCATTGTTTATTCTAAACCTTATTTTGAAATTGGAATATTTTAAAATTCGTGTGAAATCAGCCAAATTACCAATTTTTGATCACTTTATTGGGTAGTTGAAATAGTTCACCGAGTGATTTCTTGTTCTCAATTAATAAAATGGAAGACATACTAGCAAAATAGCTAAGAATCTGGTCGACTGCAACAATGTAATTGGCACAAAATAGAACTCAAAGTGAGCAAAATTGTCGATGTGTAAATATCGTTCATGCAGCAAAATTCATGAAATTGTAATACTATTAACTTTCCATCATATTTTGTGAATTTTTTATTGCTTTCAGAAAAAGATTCTCTACCATTTCATGAGAAACAATAATTTTTTTTTTTTTTTTATTTCTTGGACATTGTGGACAAGTTTCAGATCGAAGGTCTGGACAGTGAAAAGGTTAAGGTAGCCTTTATAGATGGCTTGACAGTACTTGTTTCCTGGAAAGGGAATGTACCTACTTAACAAAAGTCTTCACACATATTCAATTTTCGTCTTTCTTCATCCAGGACAGCAGACTCAAGGCACAGGCTATCCTCAACAAATTCCCCATGGAACTTTAATCAAAACATTTCATAGTGTTTCTGTGTGGTGGTGATGCCAAAATGCCCACCAGGTGCTTACTTAGAAGCAATATCAACGTTTCCATCATAAATACATCCTCCATTAAAGACCTCACCACAAAGCAAGGTCCCACGCCTCTAACTTCCACAGCAGGCATGTACACCATCCCCTGTGGACACTATCCCAAGAAATATGTAGGGGAAACGGGCAGAAATTTTTTGATTTGCCTAAGTGACCATCAAAGTGACTGCAACAAGGATGACTTAAAGAACACCTGTGTCCTCCTCAGTAACTCCACAGGACATCTGATGAGTTGGAATGAGGCACAACGTGTCCTCGCTGAACATGGCCTTAGATGCCAATGGTGACTAGAAGCCATGCTAATAGCAGTCACTGATATAATGGAAAATAATACTCTAAGCTACAAATTTTCAAAAGCACTTGCATGTATCATATTCAACCAGGCAAAGCCCAACCTATCTTACAACACAGGATTCATTTAACCTCATTGTCTACCTAACCTCATCTCCAACAAAGGCTCACTTGCATTTATCAGGTCACTATAATACACTAACATCTCACTTCCAGCCACTATATACAGGAAGGCCCCACTTATACGGCGGGTTAGGTTCCAGGCTAGCGCCGTAAAGCGGAAATCGCCGTAAAGTGGAACACCCTTTTTTTCCACTTATAAATGCATACAAACACTAGATAACAAGTTTACACTAACATATATTAAGTTAGCAATAGAACCAGGCATCAAAAAACAATAAAAAGGTACAATACACACATAGTGCACTCATTACTTACCTTAAAATATTTATAGTCTTAATCTAGGGTGAGACAAGTAGTATTTATTGTAAGAAATCAAGTGTGGTATGTATTGTAATAGGCAGGCTATTTCACCAGGCCACCCCACCCACACATACTATTCTATGATATTTAAGCATCCCAGAGCGATAAAATGTATATACAGTTCACTCATTACTTACCTTAAAATATTTGTAGTCTTAATGTAGGGTCAGGAGTAAGTAAATGAGATAAAACGAATAAATGAGAGAGAGAAAGAATGAATACATGAGAGGTGACAGGCGCAGAGTTATGTAAACAAACCAGGCTCCCACATCTTATATTTATGTTTATTTATTCTATTGTGGGGTGTATTTATCATCTTTTTATGTTATGTATCGTGTTTATTATATAATTTTGAAAAAAATATCATGGCTGGATTAATGAAAATGTGTATATTAACGTAATATACGACATTTAATGAGACTCAGTATTGTTATTATCACCACTTGTGGAAGTCGTCTGCTACACAGCTCACATTTGTTTATTTATTCTACTGTGGGGTGTATTTATCTTATTTATATGTTATGCATCGTGTTTATTATATAATTTTGAAAAAAATATCATGGATGGATTAATGAAAATGTGTATATTACCGTAATATACGACATTTAATGAGACTCCGTGACTATTGTTATTATGGCGTCACTTGTGGAAGTCGTCTGCTACCAGAGATCACATTTATGTTTATTTATTCTACTGTGGGGTGTATTTATCTTATTTATATGTTATGTATAGTGTTTATTATATAATTTTGAAAAAAATATCATGGCTGGATTAATGAAAATGTGTATATTACCGTAATATACGACATTTAATGAGACTCAGTATTGTTATTATCACCACTTGTGGAAGTCGTCTGCTACACAGCTCACATTTATGTTTATTTATTCTACTGTGGGGTGTATTTATCTTATTTATATGTTATGCATCGTGTTTATTATATAATTTTGAAAAAAATATCATGGCTGGATTAATGAAAATGTGTATATTACCGTAATATACGACATTTAATGAGACTCAGTATTGTTATTATCACCACTTGTGGAAGTCGTCTGCTACACAGCTCACATTTATGTTTATTTATTCTACTGTGGGGTGTATTTATCTTATTTATATGTTATGCATCGTGTTTATTATATAATTTTGAAAAAAATATCATGGATGGATTAATGAAAATGTGTATATTAACGTAATATACGACATTTAAATGACTTGATGTATGTAAGTTTATTTAGGTACAGGTATACATAAGTATAATTATCAGAGTATATATAAAATATGAAATAACTTTTAAAAACATTTGAAATTTTGGAGTTTCCAGACAAAATGGAGAGACTTAGTGCTTACTGAGCTCATGGAGAATGTAAACAAACAGGGTGGGGCACGGTGACCGTATTAGAAAGTCAGGTGGGGGGAGCCGTATAGTGAGTTTTGGTCATAATTTGAAATGTCCGTATTAGCGGAACGCCGTAAAGTGAAACGCCGTAAAGCGGGGCCTTCCTGTATATGTATATTGTTATTTTTGACTTTTGTATGTTAGAAATGATCAAGATCCCAGGACCGAAACATTTTCTAATGTGTCCTAATGTTTGCTCAGTTGTATTTTTAAACCAAGAATATAAAGTTCTGTGCACACCACACAAAAAAATTAACTCCATAATTGTACTAACCATAAGATTAAGTTCCCATTTCTTAATACTTTATGTGCATTTAGTGTAACATCTATAGATACGTATTTACAAATGCCCTAATGCTGTACTGTACTACTTATAAATGCCATCACAATCAATCAGCAACTATTTAAAACAGGCATTTTTTCATACCGGCTTTCCTAAGGCCAAGAGTTTTCTGCTCTTGTAGTATTGTGTGTGTCTCACTCCATCTCTCAGTCCACTGATCAGTTAACTCCTTCTCTTTTGCTTGTTTCTGACTCAGAGCTTCCATTATGCTCCCAGTTTCACTGTTTGCCTGTTGACAAATGAAAGTGCAAAAAGTATTACTTGAATATATCAAATATAATAAATTACAATGACAAAGTTGTGGCCCATTTTAGACAAATCGTAAAGGAACGGGAGGTACAGAGCTCTATGAATAGATTTGTTGTGCAACAGAGGTCCAGTGACTCTCAAGCTGGTCTTAGTGTTTTTAACTCCACGGGGAAGTGGAACGGAATTCTTCCTCCGTAAGTTATGCATGTTGTAAGAGGCGACTAAAATGCTGGGAGCAAGAGGCTAGTAACTCCGTCTCCTATATATATTATTAAAGTTAAAAAAGAAACTTTCTTTTTTCTTTTTGGGCCACCCTGCTTCAGTGGGATACTGCCAGTTTGTTAAAAAAATGATGATGATTCAGTTTTTGACAATGAAATAAATAATTCATATTCTGTTTTTGTCATTTTTTAATTATGTTACAGTACAGTACTAATATCTAGCAATTAAAATACAATATTCGCATAGTTTGTTTACCAGAATGTTTTATTTTCAATTCAGCAGAGTTATACTTCAATTCAGTGCCTATCTTATCTAATTTAAAATAATAAACCCTAATTAATCATTTATCACTGTCCCTGCTCTATTACTCCCTCAGTCTCTCATCCAACACTTGAAGTCAAAATCACATTTATAAGGACAATCCAACATAATAAGAATCAAAAGAGTTACTAATTCAATTAATTTCAAAATTAACTCATTTCTCCACTTTAATGAAGAGACCTAAATGGGAAGAGGGAAAATTATAAAGCTGAAAACAAAAAGTAGCTTCAGTAGCAGGTGACCTGAGAAAGAATCTCCAGAGCTTATATTAAAGAATTATTTAATTTCCAAATCTGGTTTGAAACTTTCCTCTATCTGCCATAAGAAACTTCATGTTGCCAAGAAATGAACTAATATACACTTCCGTTTATTCAGTATAAATCCTCATTTATGCAAGTCCAGGGGCAGCAAAACATGCAATTATGCACATCACTTGAGCACAACTGGAAGGACATATATCACTCAAGTACAAATGAAACACATCATCAGCAGAAAATATATTAGAAAGATACAGTACAGGTATGGAGATATAGTACTAGAAAGATACAGTACAGTGGACCCCCAGTATACGATATTAATCCGTTCTTGAGAGCTCATCGTATGCCAAAATTATTGGAAGGTGAATTAATTTTCCCCATAAGAAATAATGGAAATCAAATTAATCCGTGCAAGACACCCAAAAGTACTATGAAAAAAAAGTTTTAGCACATGAAATATTAAGTTTAATGCACACAAACTGAAGAAGACATGCACAGTTAGCAGTACTCTACTAACAATAGAATACAAATGAAGATCTGGTGATGATCGATGGGATGGGAGGAGGGGAGAGAGTCGAACTTATTGTTTAGAAGGGGAATCCCCTTCCAATAGGACTTAAGGTAGCAAGTCCTTTTCCGGGGTTACTTCCCTTCTTCTTTTAATGCCACTAGGACCAGCTTGAGAGTCACTGGACCTCTGTCGCACAACAAATCTGTCCATAGAGCTCTGTACCTCCCGTTCCTTTATGATTTGTCTAAAATGGGCCACAACATTGTCACTGTAATAGTCACCAACACGGCTTGCAATAGCTGTGTTAGGGTGATTTTCATCCATAAAGGTTTGCAGTTCAACCCACTTTGCACACATTTCCTTAATTTTTGAAGTAGGCACAATGGATTCCACAACTGGCATAGGCTTCTCAGGGTTAGCCCCAAACCCTTCAAAATCTTTCTTAATTTCCATACTAATTCTCACCCTTTTTACCACAGGGTTGGCACTAGAAGCTTTCTTGGGGCCCATGATGACTTATTTTGCAGAAACAAGCACCAAAAACACTGTGATAATATGGAATGTGCCGAATGTATGCTTAGATGCGAGCACACTGGTTGGCTTGTAAACACTGGCACTCACGTGGACGCGTCCTGGACGAATCACGTGTGGCAGGTTTTTTAACGAGTGGCGAGGCAAAATTTTGGCATTAAAATGTATTGAATACCGAATTTAACGTATACCGATGCCATCGAATACAGGGGGTCCACTGTACTAGTATGGAGATACAGTACTAGAAAGATACAGTACTAGTATGGAGCAAAATTACCATTTCTGGAAGCCAGGTCTGTCTATTATGTTTGGCATGATTCCAATGTGAATAAATTAAAGAATTTAATTCTATACTTCAAAATACACAGTCTCAAAATCCCACTGATATCCTGTTCATATTCTTTTCAGGTCACCCACCACAGTCAAGTGGACACACTCACAGCTCCCATCTGGAAAGTCTGAAGTCTAATCCCTAAAAGAAGGATAAAGCCTTCATTTCTTCACACTATTACACATATCTTGTGAGTTCTTCAAAACAACATAACCCTGTCATGCTTTTATGGTGCAAGACGTTGTTTTATTATTTTACAGAGTATGCTAAGAAATTACATGAGTAAAACAAAGAAAATGTAATTTATATAACCAGCAAGAGAAACGAAGGAAAACATAACTGATAACTCTGTAGCTCAATAGACTTCAACAGAAAAGATTCTAAATTAATGGAGAAAATACTTCTCACAAGCATTCTTAAACTGCAGTATTAACTTAATATACTGTACTTTAAAGATCTTTAGTGAAGAATTCTATTTGGCAAGTGTCTGACAGGTGCAGTGTAATGGATGAATCAGCATGTATTTTTTTTCTTAACAAGTGGGCCATCTCCTACCAAGGCAAGGTGACCCAAAAAAGACACACTTTCACCATCATTTACACTATCACTGAACAAATTTTTTGACTTCCTGAATTAAAATTCATTCAAAATATGGTATGAACATACTGTTATCAAACATTCATAACTGAGACCTCCTTTATGGGCAATATAATCAATTACAGTGTATAAATTTAATAATAACAAAATTATTTTAAGAACCAAATTACAAAACTGGGCATGACAATATGATTAATGAGTAAATACCTCAAAAAGCCCATGTTTATATAGAGACAAATTATGACTATGACAACACTGATACAATTTTAATTTTACTTTAGCTACACCAGACTAACTTTCTTTCAGACAAGTGAAACTCAGACTTGTGTGATCAGGAAACTGCATTATAAAAAATAAATATTACATTAATTTTCTATTCTATTAATTCTGCATTAACAAAACAATGTTATGCAGCACTCACTTCAGGTCCAATAACTTGTGTCTCCTTAATCAGTGCTTTGAGGAGAAGAATTTCTTCACGCAACTCTCTAATGAGCTTCACGTTGGGGTCTTCATTGATAGTAGGCTTGTTAATGATATTCTTGGCTCGGTTGGCATATCTCAATGTACTGAGCGTCTCCCCATAATTCACATCAGCAGGTGATATTGCTTGTAAAAAATTAGTTATGATATTGAAGTAACAGCATTATAACAATACAGTAATTAAAATAATAACAATAATAATAAAATAATTAAAAATTAATATTAATAATGTTTAACATATTTATATATGGGGTTGTGTAATAAATGAATGCTAGGGTGGTGGAAAGGGAGGTAGGATTGCAAGATGTTGGACCTGATGCAAATGAATGCTAGGGTGTTGGAATGGGGTGTAGGATTGAAAGATGTTGCACCTGATGCAAAGTGAGTTATTCCAGCTTTTCTTTGTTGGCAACAGTTTTTTCATGGAATTCTGATGACAAGCTACAAAGGTTGGTGGATGAATATAGGAGGTAATGCAGAAGAAGGAATTAAAAGTGAATGTAGAAATGAGCAAGTTGAGTAATATCCAGGCAATGATAGATTGAATAACAATGTTAGACTGAAGAGGGTAGAGGCAGTGGAGAAGGTATGATGTCTGAAAGCAACATCTTTCTTTCAATGCACCGGCCGTATCCCATGGAGGCAGGGTGACCCAAAAAAGGGAAAAAAGAAAGTTTTCCCCCTTTTTTAAAAATTTTGTAATTTTTCATATAGTCGGACTTGAGTCCGGGGAAATGGGAAGTACAATGCCTGCACTTTAAAGGAGGGGTTTGGGATTTGGAGTTTGGAGGATATTTTGTGATCTTATAGTATATGCTTCTAAAGTTGTATTCTGAGCCCCTCTGCAAAAGCAGTGATAATGTGTGAGTGTGGGGGAAGTGTTGAATGAGAGAAAGTATTTTCTTTTTGGGGTTTTTTCTTTTTTTTTTTTTGGGTCCCCCCTCCCTCGGTGGGGACGGGACTTGTTAAAAAAAAAAAAAAAAAAAAAATACAGGAAAAAAAGGGGTTCCGCCCCTGTCCTGGATTTTAGCGTGTCTTATGCCACAGGCTTACGAAGAATTCTGTTCCATTTCCCCATGGATTTGAGGGCAATGTTTTTTTTTTTTTAAAACACATCGGCTGTTCCTCCCCGAGGCGAATGACCCAAAAAAAAGGGGAAAACCCAAAAAAAGAAAAATATTTTCATCATCATTCAACCTTTATCTCACTCATACATAACACTGTCTTTGCAGAGGCACCGGATACAACAGTTTAGAAGTCCCTCCAAACGTCATTCCCCAAAACCCCTCCTTTAAAGTGAGACATTGTATTCCCATTTCCAGGACTCAAGCCCGGGGCCAAAAGGGTTCCCCTTGAACCCCTTCAAAAAAATATTTACCCTGATCACAAAAGATCTGAGGTCCCCAAATACCTTTAAATTTCCCCATTCACCCTATCTAACATGTCACACTGTTTGCGAGAGCCCAACCCCCCTCGCCACAAAACCTCTTTTATCCCCTCCATCCTTTTTGAGGAGACCCCCCCCGCCTTCCTTTCCCTACATATTTATACACACTCCAAGTCATTCTACTTTGTTCCATTCTCTCAAAATGAAAAAACCACCTCAACACCCTTTCTTCAGCCCTCTGACTAATATTTTTTAGTAACCCCTACCTTCTAATTTCCACACTACGATTTCTCTGCATAATATTTACACCACACATTACCCTTAGACAGGACATCACCACTGCCTCCAGCCATATTCTTGCTGCAGCATTTACAACAAAATTCACACCCCTATAAAAAATGTTGGTACCCTGTACTTTGTACATTCCCCTTTTTTGCCTCCCCTGTTAACATTTTTGCCCACAGATATCTCAATGCACCACTCACCTTTTTTCCTTCATCAATTCTATGGTTAACCTCATCCGTTACATATCATCCACTGACACATCAACTCCCAAATATCTGAAAACATTCAATTCTTCCATATTCCCTCTCTCTAATGTGATATCCAATTTTTCTTTATTCAGTTATTTAATACCTCTACCGACTCCTGCTATATTCACTTTCAACCTTTCCCCTTTTTTACCCCCAGAAAATATCCATAACCTTTAAACTTTTCTTTAGAATTCCCATAAGCACGTATATCGCAAAAAATAAATGTGTCAACTCTCACTTTGTATTTATTACCCATAATTTAAACCCACCCCCTTCCCTAAAACCCCCAGATTTATTTTTTAAAAATCCCAATTTTTAAAAATTTTAACAACCATGGTGACATTACCCCTCCCCGTCTAAGACCTACTTTTTTCTGGGAAGATCTCCCCTCTCTTACACACCCTAACATGAGCCTCACTACCTCATGAAAACTCTTTACAGCATTTAGTGCCTACTACCTATTCCTACTTTGCAAAAATCTGCCAATTGCTCCCCCATCTACATTATTGCCTATTCTAAATCCAAAAAATGAATGAAAAACTTCCCTAACTTTATTAATTTTTGTTCACAATATTTCTTCGATGTAAACACTTCCCACAATCCCCTACCCACTTATAGCCTCCTTGCTCATCTGCAACCCTACTCACTACTTCCCTCTATTCTTTAAAATAATAACCCTACTGTAAAATTTCCTGGTATACTCGGTAAATTTATGCCTCTAAATTTTTACAATTTCTTTTGTCCCTTTCCCTTTATATAAAGGAAAATATAGCTCTTAAAAAATCCCTAGGTACCTTCCCTTTTTCATAATTTTTTAAAACAAAAACACCAGGCGGGGGGACCCAAAAAAGAAAAAAAATCCCCAAAAAAAAAATACTTTCATCTCATTAAACACTTTCATCACACTCACACTTTCATGCTTTTTGAGAGGTGCTCAAATACAACACCTTAGAAGCATATACGAAAAGATACACAACATTCCCTCCAAAATGCCATACCCCAAAACCCCCCTTTAAAATTCAGGCATTGTACTTCCCATTTCCAGGACTCAGTCCGACTATAGAACATAAAAAGGTTTCCTGAACCCTTCACTAAATTTCCCTGCTCACACTCAAAAAAGATCGTCAGGTCCCCCAAATATCATTCGCCTCCCTTACTCCTATCTAACCGCTCATGCACGTTGCGGAAATCCAAACCCTAGCCACAAAACCTCCTTTACCCCCCCCTTTTCCCAATTTCGAGGATGACCCCTACCCCTCCTTCCTTCCCCTATAGATTTATATGCTTTCCATGTCATTCTACTTTGATCCATTCTCTCTAAATGACCAAACCACCTCAACAACCCCTCTTCTGCCCTCTCACTAATGCTTTTATTAACTCCACACCTTCTCCTAATTTCCACACTCCGAATTTTCTGCATAATATTTACACCACACATTGCCCTTAGACAGGACATCTCCACTGCCCTCAACCGTCTCCTCGCTGCTGCATTTACCACCCAAGCTTCACATCCATATAAGAGTGTTGGTACTACTATACTTTCACACATTCCCTTCTTTGCCTCCATAGATAACATTCTTTGACTCCACATATACCTCAACGCACCACTCACCTTTTTTCCCTCATCAATTCTATGATTAATCTCATCCTTCATAAATCCATCCGCCGACACGTCAACTCCCAAGTATCTGAAAACATTCACTTCTTCCATACTCCTCCTCCCCAATTTGATATCCAATTTTTCTTTATCTAAATCATTTGATACCCTCATCACCTTACTCTTTTCTATGTTCACTTTCAACTTTCTACCTTTACACACATTCTCAAACTCATCCACTAACCTTTGCAATTTTTCTTTAGAATCTCCCATAAGCACAGTATCATCAGCATAAAGTAACCGTGTCAATTCCCATTTTGAATTTGATTCCCCATAATTTAATCCTACCCCTCTCCCAAACACTCTAGCATTTACTTATTTTACTACCCCATCTATAAATATATTAAACAACCATGGTGACATTACACATCCCTGTCTAAGACCTACTTTTACCGGGAAGTAGTCTCCCTCTCTTCTACACACCCTAACCTGAGCCTCACTATCCTCATAAAAGCTCTTTACAGCATTTAGTAACTTACCACCTATTCCATATACTTGCAACATCTGCCACATTGCTCCTCTATCCACTCTATCATATGCCTTTTCTAAATCCATAAATGCAATAAAAACTTCCCTACCTTTATCTAAATACTGTTCACATATATGCTTCAATGTAAACACTTGATCTACACATCCCCTACCCACTCTGAAGCCTCCCTGCTCATCCGCAATCCTACATTCCGCCTTACCTCTAATTCTTTCAATTATAACCCTACCGTATACTTTTCCTGGTATACTCAGTAAACTTATTCCTCTATAATTTTTACAATCTCTTTTGTCCCCTTTCCCTTTATATAAAGGGACTATACATGCTCTCTGCCAATCCCTAGGTACCTTCCCCTTTTTCATACATTTATTAAACAAAAGTACCAACCACTCCAACACTATATCCCCCCGTGCTTTTAACATTTCTGTCATGATCCCATCAGTTCCAGCTGCTTTACCCCCTTTCATTCTACGTAATGCCTCACGTACCTCCACCACACTTACATTCTGCTCTTCTTCACTCCTAAAAGATGGTATACCTCCCTGGCCAGTGCATGAAATTACCGCCTCCCTTTCTTCCTCAACATTTAAAAAGTTTCCTCAAAATATTCTCGCCATCTACCTAATACCTCCCTCTCCCCCATCTACTAACTCCCCTACTCTGTTTTTAACTGACAAATCCATACTTTCCCTAGGCTTTCTTAACTTGTTTAACTCACTCCAAAATTTTTTCTTATTTTCATTAAAATTTCTTGACAGTGCCTGTCCCACTCTTTCATCTGCTCTCCTTTTGCACTCTCTCACCACTCTCTTCACCTTTCTTTTACTCTCCATATACTCTGCTCTTCTTATAACACTTCTACTTTGTAAAAACCTCTCGTAAGCTACCTTTTTCTCTTTTATCACACCCTTTACTTCATCATTCCACCAATCACTCCTCTTTCCTCCTGCCCCCACCCTCCTATAACCACAAACTTCTGCCCCACATTCTAATACTGCATTTTTAAAACTATTCCAACCCTCTTCAAACCCCCCACTACTCATCTTTGCACTAGCCCACCTTTCTGCCAATAGTCGCTTATATCTCGCCCGAACTTCCTCCTCCCTTAGTTTATACACTTTCACCTCCCTCTTACTTGTTGTTTCCACCTTCCTCTTTTCCCATCTACCTCTTACTCTAACTGTAGCTACAACTAAATAATGATCTGATATATCAGTTGCCCCTCTATAAACATGTACATCCTGGAGCCTACCCATCAACCTTTTATCCACCAATACATAATCCAACAAACTACTTTCATTACGTGCTACATCATACCTTGTATATTTATTTATCCTCTTTTTCATAAAATATGTATTACTTATTACCAAATTTCTTTCTACACATAGCTCAATTAAAGGCTCCCCATTTACATTTACCCCTGGCAACCCCAAATTTACCTACTACTCCCTCCATAACATTTTTACCCACTTTAGCATTGAAATCCCCAATCACCATTACTCTCACACTTGATTCAAAACTCCCCACGCATTCACTCAACATTTCCCAGAATCTCTCTCTCTTCTCTACACTTCTCTCTTCTCCAGGTGCATACACGCTTACTATAACCCACTTTTCACATCCAATCTTTATTTTACTCCACATAATCCTTGAATTTATACATTTGTAGTCCCTCTTTTCCTGCCACAGCTTATCCTTCAACGTTATTGCTACTCCTTCTTTAGCTCTAACTCATATTTGAAACCCTGACCTAATCCCATTTATTCCTCTCCATTGAAACTCTCCCACCCCCTTCAGCTTTGTTTCACTTAAAGCCAGGACATCCAGTTTCTTCTCATTCATAACATCCACAATCACCTCTTTCTTATCATTTGCACAACATCCACGCACATTCAGACTTCCCACTTTGACAATTTTCTTCTTCTTATTCTTTTTAGTAATCTTTACAGGAAAAGGGGTTACTAGCCCATTGTTCCAGGCATTTTAGTTGACTTTTACAACACGCATGGCTTACGGAGGAAAGATTCTTATTCCACTTCCCCATGGATATAAAAGGAAAAGTAATAAGACCAAGAACTATTAAGATAAAATCAAAGAAAACTCAGATGAGTGTGTATAAATAAACATGTACATGTATGTGTAGTGTGACCTAAGTGTAAGTAGAAGTAGCAAGACATGTCTGTAATCTTGCATATTTATGAGACAGACAAAAGACACCAGCAATCGTACCATCATGTAAAACAATTACAGGCTTTTGTTTTACACTCACTTGGCAGGACGGTAGTACCTCCCTGGGTGGTTGCTGTCTACCATACACACACACACACACACACACACACACACACACACACACACACACACACACACCCCTCTGGGTTATCTTCTATTTTCTTGTTAGTTCTTGCTCTTGTTTATTTTCTTTTATATCCATGGAGAAGTGGAACATAATTCTTCCTCCGTAAGCCATGCATCATACTGGAGTGAGATAAGCAAATGCAAAATAAGCCAACGAAAAGGCATGGGTGCCATTGGCACCCACGACTCAAGACTCTTCAACCTGCTACCAGATATCAGAAATTGTGTATTACCAGAACCAACACAAAAGTCTTAAAGAAAAAAATGGATCACTACATCATCAAATGCCTGATCAACCAGACTGTGATGGTTATGTAGAAAGCAGGTTGCTAACAGAAAAAGCCTGACTGAACAGTCACTAAGACGGCTAGTCTCAGGGTAAAAAAAAAAATTACTGAAAACTGGCCATTGGTATGTTACAGAGTATATCTCAACAAAATTATAGTTATACAATGAGGACAGGGTGACATATTAACATGGTACTATACAATGTGATCCACACGTCATTTATAGAAATAACCTAAAGCCACCACAATAAATATTAAAACTCACTAGCAATCATGATAGTTTTAGAGTTGCCACCGAGGGAATCTTTCAACAACCAGGTGAGGACTGAATCACGGTATGGAATGAAGACATTCTTCCCTGAGGTGGCCTTCGAGGCCTGCTCCGCCAAAGCACTGATGACCGAGCCTAGAGTCACCAATGACTTATTAATGTGAGCACCTTCTTTAAGTCTTTGCCCAGTTGCCCCTGTTGCATCTGCTCTCTCACTGAAAAGCATTAATATTTGATTAGATATAATGCTCAGTAGAAGAGGTGACTGAGAGATACAAGTGTGAGAAAGGGTCAATGTCTCACCTGATGAATCAACTTAGTGCTAAGTGAATAATAATGAAGTGCTCTAGTAATATAAAAGACTCCATTCTCTTCAGTTCACTTGTCCAATTGGTAATTCACATGACTGGGTAATCTACATGATGATGCATCCGTCACTTTTTTGGACAAAAAAACAAATGATGAAGTACCATATTTCGCGGCTTATTAGACACATTTTTTTTTCCATACAATGTCTCCAAAAACCACCCTGCATCCTATCAACTGAAGGTCAGTGACAGGAGCTATAAGTTTGGGGTGTAGGGTGGGCTGTAGCTCTCCCAGTTACGCTCGATGCCAAGCCATTGAAACTAAAACAAATCCAGTGTTTCAAAATTACAATAAAATTAATAACATTTTGAGACAAGCTACATGTATTTATGAAATACAGATACTGCATTGGGATACTGACAGAAAATTAAATTCCTCCTTAAGTAACACCTTCCTTTCTTATTTCTAAAACTAATGAAGTCACAAAGCAACATTATTTATGGTAGGCACTTTAAAATAATGCTACCATACACTACGCTATTGTAAACACATGGGTATTTTCACTTTATTACTAGGTACTGGTAATCATATTTACCGTATGTTATGGTACAACAGCTGAAGCAGCCAATTTTGTTTATTCCGATAGTCACTGACGAAGACATATCAGTATGCCACCAGCGACTGCTTCATCAGCTCAAATTAAGAGATCATCAGGGTGTTCAGGTAAGCACTAGGCCTACTGTATGTTTTGGCCTATCCCTAAATCAAACGTAACCTTATTTCTGCGTGTAAAATTACCATAGGCTTTAATGGAGTAAATATTACTTATTGCAAAGGTTAGTGGATGAGTTTGGGAGTGTGTGTAAAGGTAGAAAGTTGAAAGTGAACATAGAAAAGAGTAAAGTGATTTTTTTTTTTTTTTTTTTTTCAACAAGTCGGCCGTCTCCCACCGAGGCAGGGTGACCCAAAAAAAAAAGAAAGAAAATCCCCAAAAAGAAAATACTTTCATCATCATTCAACACTTTCACCACACTCACACATTATCACTGCTTTTGCAGAGGTGCTCAGAATACAACAGTTTAGAAGCATATACGTATAGAGATACACAACATATCCCTCCAAACTGCCAATATCCCAAACCCCTCCTTTAAAGTGCAGGCATTGTACTTCCCATTTCCAGGACTCAAGTCCGACTATATGAAAATAACCGGTTTCCCTGAATCCCTTCACTAAATATTACCCTGCTCACACTCCAACAGATCGTCAGGTCCCAAGTATCATTCGTCTCCATTCACTCCTATCTAACACGCTCATGCACGCTTGCTGGAAGTATCAAATGATTTAGATAAAGAAAAATTGGATATCAAATTGGGGAGAAGGAGTATGGAAGAAGTGAATGTTTTCAGATATTTGGAAGTTGACACGTCAGCAGATGGATTTATGAAGGATATTAATCATAGAATTGATGAAGGAAAAAAGGCGAGTGGTGCATTGAGGTATATGTGGAGACAAAAAACGTTATCTATGGAGGCAAAGAAGGGAATGTACGAAACACTCTTATATAGGTGTGAAGCTTGGGTTGTAAATGCTGCAGCAAGGAGGCAGTTGGAGGCAGTGGAGGTGTCCTGTCTAAGGGCAATGTGTGGTGTAAATATTATGCAGAAAATTCGGAGTGTGGAAATTAGGAGAAGGTGTGGAGTTAACAAAAGTATTAGTTAGAGGGCTGAAGATGGGGTTGTTGAGGTGGTTTGGTCATTTAGAGAGAATGGATCAAAGTAGAATGACATGGAGAGCGTATAAATCTGTAGGGGAAGGAAGGCAGGGTAGGGGTCGTCCTCGAAAAAGTTGGAGGGAGGGGGTACAGGAGGTTTTGTGGGCAAGGGGCTTGGACTTCCAGCAAGCATGTGTGAGCATGTTAGATAGGAGTGAATTGAGACGAATGGTATTTGGGACCTGACGAGCTGTTGGAGTGTGAGCAGGGTAATATTTAGTGAAGGGATTCAGGGAAATCAGTTATTTTTATATAACCAGACTTGAGTCCAGGAAATGGTAAGTACAATGCCTGCACTTTAAAGGAGGAGTTTGGGATACTGGCAGTGTGGAGGGATATGCTGTGTATCTTTATACATATATGCTTCTAAACTGTTGTATTCTGAGCACCTCTGCAAAAACAGTGATTATGTGTGAGTGAGGTGAAAGTGTTGAATGATGATGAAAGTATTTTCTTTTTGGGGATTTTCTTTCTTTTTGGGTCACCCTGCGTCGGTGGGAGACGGCCGACTTAAAAAAAAAAAAAAAAATTATTACTTGGTATTAGGAACTCTTAACTTTTTTTCTGATTATTACCTTCAAAATTGGGATGCGACTAATGCATCAGAGCGTCTCATAAGCCACGAAATATGGTAATAGAGAACCAGATATATTTAGTAGTAAATTTATAAATGCTTCAAGTACAATCTTAATCAACAGAAATGAAAAAAGATATCTCACCTGCCTGCTAAATCAACCAGGTGAATTTTGGACCGAGTTTCTAATGGTGTATCTGATAAGAGTTTGGCCTGAATGAAAGTTACAGTAAATATAGCATGACTTCTTGAACTCGTGTCATTCATGTGGGTGCTTGCAGTTGTACGATGAGAGTTTCCTCTTCTCATCAACTCCTATAGAAATTTAAGGTAAAATATATTAAGGCATGATTAATGTATACAAAAACTCACAATACACAAAGAATGTGGTAGACTAATGATTAATGCTGTAGTTATAAAAACAGCCGAAAGAGAAAACATAATAGATTCTGGTTTTAGAAATGGAAAAAATGTAGAATATAACTTTTTTAACCCTTAAACGGTCCAAACGTATATATACGTCCACGCGCGTAACGCCCCAAATGTATATATACGTTTTCTTTGTCATTCATTCAACATTGCCACAATAAGCCTGAGTCACCTAGACATGAGAGAATGGGTGTGCACACTCACTGTGTGCCATATTAAAATAACTGGGGATGCCTGGGTACCATATGCTCTTTTTTCCTTTTAAAAGAAAAGATTGTTTTTTTCCTCAAAAAAGTTGGGGCGCTACGCGAGTGAACATATATATACGTTTGGACCGTTTAAAGGTTAAAAGGAACTAACAGTTCATCGTCTCCAGGATGTTATTTATTTTATTATCACACTGGCCGATTCCCACCAAGGCAGGGTGGCCCGAAAAAGAAAAACTTTCACTATCATTCACTCCATCACTGTCTTGCCAGAAGGGTGCTTTACACTACAGTTTTTAAACTGCAACATTAACACCCCCTCCTTCAGAGTGCAGGCACTGTACTTCCCATCTCCAGGACTCAAGTCCGGCCTGCCGGTTTCCCTGAACCCCTTCATAAATGTTACTTTGCTCACACTCCAACAGCACGTCAAGTATTAAAAACCATTTGTCTCCATTCACTCCTATCAAACACGCTCACGCATGCCTGCTGGAAGTCCAAGCCCCTCGCACACAAAACCTCCTTTACCCCCTCCCTCCAACCTTTCCTAGGCCGACCCCTACCCCGCCTTCCTTCCACTACAGACTGATATACTCTTGAAGTCATTCTGTTTCGCTCCATTCTCTCTACATGTCCGAACCACCTCAACAACCCTTCCTCAGCCCTCTGGACAACAGTTTTGGTAATCCCGCACCTCCTCCTAACTTCCAAACTACGAATTCTCTGCATTATATTCACACCACACATTGCCCTCAGACATGACATCTCCACTGCCTCCAGCCTTCTCCTCGCTGCAACATTCATCACCCATGCCTCACACCCATATAAGAGCGTTGGTAAAACTATACTCTCATACATTCCCCTCTTTGCCTCCAAGGACAAAGTTCTTTGTCTCCACAGACCCCTAAGTGCACCACTCACTCTTTTCCCCTCATCAATTCTATGATTCACCTCATCTTTCATAGACCCATCCGCTGACACGTCCACTCCCAAATATCTGAATACATTCACCTCCTCCATACTCTCTCCCTCCAATCTGATATTCAATCTTTCATCACCTAATCTTTTTGTTATCCTCATAACCTTACTCTTTCCTGTATTCACCTTTAATTTTCTTCTTTTGCACACCCTACTAAATTCATCCACCAATCTCTGCAACTTCTCTTCAGAATCTCCCAAGAGCACAGTGTCATCAGCAAAGAGCAGCTGTGACAACTCCCACTTTGTGATTCTTTATCTTTTAACTCCACGCCTCTTGCCAAGACCCTCGCATTTACTTCTCTTACAACCCCATCTATAAATATATTAAACAACCATGGTATAACATCTAAATCCTCGTTGCACCAATGGTGCCAGAGTCCAGGAGTAGAAAGACTCAAAACTCAAAGGTATACCTCACACTACTGTGATGTAATACGTATCATCTCAAGTAATGTAAGCATTTCGAGCTTATACCTTAAGGCTGAAACAACAAATAAATCTCAAATATATAAACAGAGTTTTCTAACCTGTATATCATGATAGTGATGGACCAGATGACAGGAGAGATCCTGAACGTATGGACCAAGTTTTGGGTGCTCTCTAACACGAAGGGAATGTGTGTTCTTGTGGGTACCTTGTCTCAACAAGTCCTTTACACGTTCATTGTAGATTTCCAAGTAGCTTACTTCAACTCTTTTAATTCAAAGAAACATTAATATAATTAAAATACATAAAATAAGAAATACAGCTCATAAATTTTCCTAAACTGGATAACCATTACAGTACATACAGGAAATACACTTTTCTTTCTTTCTTTCAACACACCGGCCGTATCCCACCAAGGCAGGGTGGCCCAAAAAGAAAAACGAAAGTTTCTCTTTTAAATTTAGTAATTTATACAGGAGAAGGGGTTACTAGCCCCTTGCTCCCAGCATTTTAGCCGCCTCTTACAACACGCATGGCTTACAGAGGAAGAATTCTGTTCCACTTCCCCATGGAGAACAGGAAATACACAAAATACACAAAAAAATAAGGCTGAATGCATACTTAATATACAAAGAAGCTTGTAAGCTTTACCTGCCACTTTATATGTTAATGAATACAAGCAATCCTGCCTAACATTTCACACTCATGTGACAGGACTTTAGTACCTTCCCGGATAGTTGCTCTCTACCAACCCATTACCTACATATTCGCTTTTTTTTTTTCATTCAGGAGATTTAACCCCTTAACTGTCCAAACGTAGATCTATGTTCTCTCGCTCAGCGCTCCGAATATTTTGAAAAAAAAAAAATTGTTTTTTAATAAAGAGGACTTTTTTTTTTTACATAATGTAAAGAAAAATTGGAGTCAGTATTTACAGAGATATAAGGCCGCAAAGTTGGCACTTGTCGCTCACCTGATGGCAACATGAAACGTTGCTGCTTGCAGCAGTATTGCAGATATACCTTTTTCTCTCTTTTTTTTTTTTTTAATTTATATAATTTTTATGTTCTGATAATTACAATCTTATCCATGGGGAAGTGAAACAGAATTCTTCCTCCGTAAGCCATGCATGTCATAAGAGGCGACTAAAATGCTGGGAGCAAGAGGCTAGTAACCCCTTCTCCTGTATATATTACATACTAATTTTAAAAGGAGGAACTTTCGTTTTTCTATTTGGACCACCCTGCCTCGGTGGGATACGGCCGGTACGTTGAAAGAAGAGTAATTACAATTTGTAGTAGTTTTTGTGATTTCATAGCCAATCTCTGTTCTGACATTAATATTAGGTCCTGAACTAGTACTTAAATAGTCGCAAACACAGTGACAGGTGAACATTTTCACATTTACACATTGCAAACTATGCAAGGAAATACTCTCCTTAATCCTTAACCTTGGTCACGTACTATTGTCTAAAAATATATACATAGTGTTTATAGGTCCCAGCAATGTTTTGGACATGTGGGAGTATATAATAATAATAAGTTTCCTTGAAGCATGGTGTAAAACGAGTGTCACTCTACTGCTGACAGTGCAGCAATGGAGTGACATTTGATGATCATCCACTGCCCTGGCTTTATTTGTTTTCACTGTTACACATGAACATGTCTGTCTGTCTGTCTGTCTGTCTGTCTGTCTATCTATCTATCTATCTATGTCTGTCTAGCTCTGTTTATCTCTTGTCTCTGGTTATCTATCTATCTGTCTCTGTCTGCTTCTCTCTCCTTCTGTCTCAGAGACGTTGACTTGTGAGCCAACAGGTATTACACACAATGTAGAGATACAGGGTAGCCACGTCCGATTCCTGAACAAGTGAAAATGTGTATTACTTGCTAGTCATGCTTATTATGCATTATATCTACAAGCACAGTATAGCACTCTGTCTGGATTTTTGGGTTATCCTAGGTAATATACACTATGTATAACTGTATTTATGTGTACCTGTGAGATAGACACAGAGACAGAGAAAGAGACTGACAGAGTGATAGAGACAGAGATAAATACACAGACAGATGGAGATAGACAGCCAATCAGCCAGCCAGCTGGCCAGCCATCCACCGGCCAGCCAGCTGGCCAGCAGGCCATCCAGCCTGCCTAACACATATTACACATTCCAGAATTGTTTCTTTTTACTTAGGGAATAGGTTATAGAACATTCTGGCAGGATGATACTACCAGTAGTACCAAAATTGAAAGGGTGTTGCACAAATGTTGCACATGAGTTATTATCGAGGTTTTGGATATTTTCTTGACCACTTGTGGCCACATCCACCTCAAAGCCACTAAACTCGGGGTCAACCTCACTTTCCTCTTAAAAGGAGAGTGTTAATATGATATGGCATCAGAGAATCCCTGGTGTTTGCTGCGCTGTTTGCTCTAGCTGGCGCTCAATTGAACTGGTGCTCCCACAAGGTACCAAGTGGTCCCAGATTTTTTTAATACTGCGCACAACGAGTGTTAAGACCCATTCTATGCTGACCAGGCATCTCAGGCCAATCATGTCAATTTTGGAGGCAGGAAAAATAAAACGTAGATCTACCTTTGGAGTGCTAGTGGTAAGAACGTAGATCTAAGCTTGGATAGTTAAGGGGTTAACCCTTTGAGGGTCCAGAGGCCCTATCTCAGAGTCATAGCCAGGGTCCAAGAATTTTAAAAAAAAACTTTTTATTTTTTCTTATGAAATGATAAAGAATCTTTTTCTGAAGGTAAGAGAGCAAAAAGTACAAAATTTGATGGAAAACTGATGAAATTACACTCTCGCAAATTGTGATGCATCAGCGATATTTATGCATAAGCGATTTTGCCGACTCTGACTCCCATTTTAGGCCAATTACACTATTCCAGTCGACCAAATTCTTAGCTATTTCGCTAGTATTACTTCTATTTTATTGAATGAGCAGAAGAAATTGGCCAGTCAGCTGTTTCAACTACCCACTAAAGTGATCAGAAATTGGTAATTTGGCCAATTTAACACGAAGTTCAAAATATTCCAGTTTCAAAGTAGGGTCCTGAATGAACAATGCAGGCATTCCTGGCACTAAACTAACATCTCCTCTGTTCATTAGTTATGTTTTCAGGCTTTACAAATGAATTCTATTTTGATTTTTTATTCACATAATGAATTTTTATTCACACCAAAAAATAGAAGATTTACTGTTATACAATGTTGTAATAATTGTATAAATAATATCAACACATTTGTGAACATATATTAGACCCACCAGCTGACATGTATTAGACTTGTGACAGCATTTGTTTACTTTTGAACATTGGCAAAAATTTAAAAATTCTGCTACTTTGAGCTTAGTTTTAAGCCATTTTCAGTACTAAAACCAATCAAAATCATCTCTGTTTCTGTGATATATCTTCCATTCTATCAAATGAGATCAAGAAATCGTAAATACAACTGTAAAAAACTATACGAAAAAACACCGTAAAGTCGCTGTTTTAATCCAAAATTACGGTCGCAGTTTTTTCTCTCTCATTATGCACTGCGTGCTGCAGGATTTGTTTTATGTGGTTCACACTTACCACATAGATGTGTTCTCTCATATTTTGCCCCAAATTTACTGCTCACAGGTTATCTGAGTGAGCTGAGCTCATGCCATAGATCTACAGTTTGGACCCTGGCTTCAAAGCTGTACATCTATGGACAGACTCTCAAAGGGTTAATAAGAGCTGAATATACACTGGTTCTAGTAAAAGAATGGGATTTAGCTTTGTGGATATAACATATGCAACAGGATTCTTATGTGGCCATAGTATACAGTACAATGGTATTTAAACTTAAAAAATTGAAGAATTCTTTCACTCAAGAATGCACTTTAACCCTTTCAGGGTCCGTCCCGTAGATCTACGGCTTTACGGTGAGTGTCCAAACCGTAGATCTACGCCATGAGCTCAGCTCACTCTGATAAACTGTGAGTGGTACATTTGGGCCTAGATATGAGAGAATACATCTATGTGGTATGTGTGCACCACATAAAACAGATCCTGCAGCACACTGTGTATAATGAGAGAAAAAAACTGAAATCATGATTTTTCGATTAAAACAGCGACTTTGCAGTGTTTTTTCGTATGTTTTTTATAGTTGTATTTGCGATTTCTTGGTCTCATTTGATAGAATGGAAGACATATGACAGAAATAGAGATGATTTTGATTGGTTTTCGCACTGGAAATGGCTTGAAACTGAGCTCAAAGTAGCGGAAATGTTAAATTTTTGCCGATATTCAAGAGTAAACAAACGACCTCACACATCTAATACACGTCAGCTGGTGGGTCTAATATACATTCACAAATATGGTGATGATATTTATACAATTATTGCAGTATTGCATAACAGTAAATCTTCTATTTTTTGGTGTGAATAAAAATTAGTTATGTGAATAAAAAATCAAAATGGAATTTATTTGTAAAGCCTCAAAATGTAACTAATGAACAGAGGAAATGTTAGTTTAGTTCCAGGAATACCTACATTGTTTATTCTGGAGCCTATTTTGAAATTGGAATATTTTGAACTTTGTGTTAAATTGGCCAAATTAACAATTTCCGATCACTTTATTTTGTAGTTGAAACAGTTGACTTGGCGATTTCTTGTGCTCAATCGATAGAATAGAAGTAATACTAGTGAAATAGCTAAGAATTTGGTTGATTGGAATAATGTAATTGGCCTAAAATGGGAGTCAAAGTCGGCAAAATCGCAGATTCGTAAATATCGCTGACACATCAAAATTCGCGAGAGCATAATTTCGTCAATTTTCCACCAAATTTCATACTTTTTGTTTTATTACCTTCACAAAAAGATTCTCTATGATTTCATAGAAAAAATAACAAATTTTTTATTTGAAAATTCTTGGACACTGGTACGTGACTTCAGATTTTGGCCTTGGACCCTGAAAGGGTTAATATTAATAAGCAAAACTGAGACCTGTCCATAGGGCAATAATGCCAGTTACTAGTCCTGACATCTCCATGAAGAGAGGGGTAAACACACAGATATGGGGACACGAGACATAAAAATCACAAAATAGTTGATCTACTAGCAATGTTTGTTTATTAAACTTTTGGCAAAAGAAATCTATATAATTTCTTTTTACACAATGGTCATTTCCCACTGAGGTAAGATGACCTGAAAAAGAAACACTTTCATCATTATTCACACTATCATTGTCTGTCTAGAGGTGCATACATAAGACAGTTTAAATGTCCCTCCAAACAGCAAATATCCCCACCCTCCTTTAGAAGAAAACCTATAAATATAGAGAGTATAATCTCAATTTAATGTACCCCAATTTAACATAATTTTTATTTAAAATCTCTGGCCTGAAAACATCCACAAAAAAAGGATAAAGTCTGTCAGAACCAGAATGGTTTGTTACTGTTGCTGTCTGCTGGGTTAATTGATTTCTGGATTTAAGAAACTTTGTTGGTTCAATCCAGAACTGGCCATTATTATGCTTGTGGAAAAATATTACTATTCATATTTAATGAATACTTGACTTTAACAGACACTCCCATCTCCTATTACTTCATTAAATTGAGGGTTCACTGTACACTGAGTCACAGAATACAGTATAACAATTTTATCATTATCATTATTACCCCATTACCTATTTTCATGGGATAGGAAGGAACTGACACAAAGATTAAGAATTTATATTGTAACAAAAGGGGCTAAACTCCATGGGAAAGTGGAACAGAATTCTTCCTCCTTAAGCCATGAGTGTTGTAAGAAGCGACTAAAATGCCGGGAGCAAGGCGCTAGTAACCCCTTCTCCTGTACAAATTACTAAATTTAAAAAGAAAAGCTTTCCTTTTTCTTTTTGGGCTACCCTGCCTTGGTGGGATATGACCGGTTTGTTTGAAAAAAAAAAAAAAAAAAAAAAAAAAAAAAAAAAGAGCTAAACTGGCATAAAATGGAAATAAATGATTTGCCATAGTGGCTACTCTCCTTGTCACTGAGTGTGCAAACAGTCGTATTCCCAATAATAAAAAGGAAAGAGTGATCTGGTGACCAATCTTCACCATCTTCCAGCTGGTAAGTAGACAGGTTCTCAGTGATCTCAGTGAATCACTACTGTGATCTGCAAGCTACAATTGTTCGTAATAAAGGCTTCATAACAAGCATTTCATTTAAGAAACAATTACACTCAATTAAAAGTAGAAGTATAATATTTTATGTAATCTTATAAATTAAAAATTACCACCCAAAGATTCTTATTCAGGTGAAATACACACAATAATTCTAAAGAACATACTTGTAAGTAGTTCCAGCTTCTCTTCCTTCAGCCATTGATGAAAACAGAGCCTCACAAATCCTGGGAATGAGTCCAGGATTGACCTGCAGTGATATGTATAATTATAAGGCTGGGCTAAATCATTTTGAAGTGCTATTACAAATTACAGAACTAAAATAAAAACATGGAAATTACTACACTGGAACCCCGGTTTTTGTCCTGTCCGGTTATCGTACAATTCAGTTTTGGACCACTTTTCTCGGCGAAATTTTCCCCATTTTCGTACATCCGCTCGGAAATCGTCCATACCAGATGCATCCGCCTGCCCATGGGACACGGCTCAGTCTGCCTTTGTTACTCGTTCAGGGAAGAGCTAACCACCAAAGAGCTGCAAGACCTTCATCTGGAACAGCAACAGACCTTAGTTGAGGAAATTCCTTCAGAGGAGGAGGAGTAGAGAGGGGAGAATGTGCCTTCTTCAGCAATTTAAGACATTTGTGCAAAGTGGAGTGAGGTGCAAAGTTTTGTGGAGAAATCACCCTAACAAAGCTGTTGCAAGCTGTGTCTGCAACATGTTCAATGACAATGCTGTGTCCCATTTTAGGTAAATCTTAAAGGGATGCCAGAAACAGGCCTCCCTGGACAGATTTTTAGTGCGGCAGGTGTCCAGCGACTCTCAGTCTGGTCCTAGTGCCAGTAAAAGAAAGAAGGGAAGTAACCTCAGATAGGGCTTTGATACCTTTAGTTGTTATAGAGGGAGATTCCCCTTCCAAATAATAACCTCTCCTCCCTCTCCCCTCCTCGCTGTCTTCCATACGCCAACAAGACTCTTCAGTAAAGGTAAAAGTGATATTATATGTTCATTTATCCATTTCATTAGTCATTTATACTTATTTCTCATTGTTTTTGTATGTAAAACTATAGTTATTCTCTATAAATTGTATTTTTTGTTAATATTTTTGGGTATCTGGAGCAAATTAATCGAATTTACGTCATTTCTTAAGGGAAATATTACTTCAGTTTTCGTACAAATTCGTTTTCGGCCGACCTTCTGAAACGGATTAAAGACGAAAACTGGGGTTCCACTGTATATGTTGAAGTCATAACCTATATAAAATACAACCTTTAAAAAATGATGAAATATTTACCAAACAATATTCAAATACAGTTACAGCATACATTATAGCAAGATTAACCAAATATTAAAAATAAAATGGCTAAAAGATATCCATGATATTGTGCCAGAGAATCTCTCTCATTTTCTCACTTCCCACTATCCACATGCTTCCTCTCTTCTTCCACCTTATCTTCAGTCTCATTAAAACCTTTGTATGCCTTCTTCACTGAATACAACCTTTTATATACAGTACCCCCAGTGTATTTATTTCTCCTTCTCAGTAACACTGGCAGTTTCCCCACCAAAGCAAAGCAACTCAATGAAGAAAAACATATTTACCAACACTTATTCCTTAGAAGTCTTTACTAGAGTGCCTGAACATCATGATTCAAATGATCCATGAAACTAACATAGCTAACAATACTTCAAAATGCAGTCACTGTACTTTCCACTTACAGAACTCAAATCTGACTAACTGATTTCCCTGAATCTCATTCATAATTTTTTTAACATGGCGGACATTTCTCACCAAAGCAGGGTGACCCAAAAATAAATTCCCAAAAAGAAAGAAAAAAAACTTTCATCATCATTCAACACCTTCACCATCACTCATACATAATCACTGTCTTGGCAGAGGTGCTGAGATATGACAGTTTAGATGTCACCCCAAACTACCAATATCCCAACCCCCTCCTTTAACCCTTTCAGGGTTAGTCCTGTAATATTACGGCTTTGAAGCCAGGGTCGGTCCAGTAATACTAAGCCAAAATTCTATCAGCTTCCAATCTTGTGGGAGAAAACTGCTGGTAGGCCTACATATGAATCGGTCTGTGTGGTCAGTGTGTGCAGTATAAAAAAAATCCTGCAGTACACAATGTATGAGACAAAAACTGCAACTGTGTTTTGTTGTTTTGTGGTGTATTTTCATGTGGTTTTCATGGTTGTATTCTCAGTTTCTTGGTCTCATTTGATAGAATGGAAGATATATTGCAGACTAAAAGTAGCTTGAAATTGAGCTCAAAGTAGCAGAAATGTTCAATTTTTTCCCAATGTTCAAGAGTAAACAAACCACGTCATGCTTCCAATACACATCAGCTGGCCAGTCTAATATGTACTCACGAATGCACTGACATTATTTATAGAATTATTATCATTATGCAATAGGCTGAATAACACTAAATCTTCTATTTTTTGTGTGAATAAAAATTCAAAATTAAAAGCAAGCGAAATATAAGAGAGGCCTGGAGAGTGACTAGTGAACAGAGAAAATGTCATTTTAGTGTCAGGAATGTCTACATTATTTATTCTGGACCCTATTTTGAAATTAGCCTTTCTTGAATTTTGTGAAATTGTACTCAGTGGCTAGAATAAAAGGCATTCTAGCTAAATAGCTGAGTTTGGTCGAATGGAACAATGGAATTAGCCCAAAATAGGGCTCGAAGTGGGTGAAATCACCGATGCGTAAATATCGCTGAGACCACTAACTTCGTAAGAGTGTAATTCCGTAAATTTTCCATAAAATTTTGTGCTTTTGGGTTCATTACCTTTGGAAAAAGCTTCGCTTATCTCATAAGAATTTTTTTTTTTAAATTCTTCGACCCTGTTTTAACCCGTAAACGGTCCAAGCAGATCTACGTTCACATGTGTAGTGCTACAAAAGTAGATCTACGTTTTTTTTTTTACATATTTTCAAATATAACAAAAAAAAAAGTAGATCAAAGTCTTTTTACACATTTTCAAATGTAAAAAAACAAAAAGAAGATCTACTTTTTTTTACATACAGTGGTCCCTCATTTTTCGTAATTAATCCATTCCTGGAGGACCTACTATAAACGAAATTTACGATTTGCGAATCAATTTTCCCCATGACTCAAGAAATCGTAATGACACGATTGCAAACAAACCATACCCCCGGCAGGGATTGAACCCGCGGTCATAGAGTCTCAAAACTCCAGCCCGTCGCGTTAGCCACTAGACCAGCTAGCCACAATAAGATTCATCCAACTAGGTATATTTCTACACCATAGGAAGGTTAGCACAGGCACCACTGTGACCACAAATGCAAGTTTTTACAGACGAATCTCCAGCTAGCGTGGCCGTGACGAACTCTAGCTCAAGTCCCTTCACTGCCGTCAACATGACTCAAGAAATCGTAATGACACGATTGCAAACAAACCATACCCCCGGCCGGGATTGAACCCGCGGTCATAGAGTCTCAAAACTCTATGACCGTAAGAAATAATGTAAATACAATTAATCCGTTCCTGACACCCAGAAGTATTAAAGCAAAAAAATTTTTTACATGAAATATACATTTAGTACATAAACAATACAATGGGAAATGATGAATGAAACATTAACAGCATAACACTTACCTTTATTGGAGATTCTTCTTAGTGTATGGGAGACTGGAGGAGGAGAGAGATTGGATTGTTTACAGTTTGGAAGGGGAATCCCCTTCCAGCAACACCTCAGGTACCAATTGCTTCTCTGGGGTTGCTTCTCTTCTCTGTTTCTTTATGCCACTAGGACCACCTTGAGAGTCACTCTAGTCCTGTCTCGCAAAGTAACTGTGGAGAGAGCTCTGTTTCTGGCGTCTCTTTAACACTTCCCTAAAATGGCCCAAGACTTTGTCACTGTACATATTTCTCACCTTCTTTACCACAGGCTTGGCACTAGGAGCTTTCTTTGGAGCCATGGTAGCTTATTTAGTACTGGCAAGCACTAAAATGAGTGGAATATTATGAAATATTTCGTAGGAGCACTTGAGGGGACCTTCACTCACTGGTAAACAATGCCAGACTGGCTGGGTAGGGAGGCCGCCTTGGCTCACACCGTGCGTAGGCATCCCGGACAAACTACTATTCGCGAGTCAACCTATGAAAAGCGAGTCCATGTTTATACGAAAATACCCCTATGATTGGCGAAATTTACGATTGCCGAGAACTACGAAAAGCGAGGGACCACTGTACTTTCAAATGTTGAAAAAACGTATATATACGTTTGGACCGTTTACGGGTTAAAGTGCTGTTACTGTACTTTCCCCTTCCTGGACTCGTCTGGTTAACCAGTTTCCCTGAATCCTTTCACATTCCAAATCCCAACATCCACTTGTCTCGCTTCACTTTCATGACTCAATTGATTATCATCATTCTCTCTCTCTTATACCTCATTCCCAAAAAAACTCTGAGGAAGGAAGGCCTGCATCAGAAAACCCTTTAAGCAGTCTCATAATATCCTCAAGACAGTCTATTTAATTTGCATTTGACTAAAACCCAGGAACCTATTAACTGCTATGTGATATGTCTTATCCTACCTATATTGTTCCCATTACTCAGTATCAAATGAATACATTAAATCACCTAAGACCACTAATAACTCAGCAAAAGGCTGCAGTCAGAATAACGAATTCCCACTCCCGACAGCATACTCCGCCAATATTCAAAAGTCTAAATCTGCTCACCATAAAGAGCATCCACACTTATTCATGTGCCTACTACAAACAAAGAACACTACACTCAAACATAAACCCTCCGCTCAAACTTCTCACCAACCTTAACAGGACACATGACCATAACACAAGACACAGATCTCTTTTTGATGTACTCTGTGTCCATATCACACTGTAAAAACTATGCACATAAAGGGCCCCAAAATTTGGAATTCATTACCAGAAAATACTAAAGTAACCCGGTTTGAAAATCAATTTAAGACTTTTCAAAAGCCACTTACTCACCCTACACTAAATACTCTATACTCAATATTCAAGTTTACCAAAAATATCTCCTAATTACCTAAACCTTAAAACTTCAAGACTAGATGCCCAAGTTTATACACTGACTAATATTACATAGTAGTATAAATACCTACCCAAAACAGTACTGCCCTACACCAAATTGTAGCATTCTCATACTATAAACTACTTTCAGCAAATCACAATGTTATATTCCCATAATACAATTTAAATATTTACCATTGAAACTATTGTACAACTTAAACTATGATAAATTTCTTTAGTATTAAGTAGTCAGTAAGTCATTAAATTAAGTCTGCCCATAATGCCTAGGCATGATGGAGGCTCTCTTTGCACTGCAACTCATTATTGTAAATACATAATCTCAATGTACTACTTGCAAAGAAATAAAATTGATTGATTGATTGACTTATTATTTTTAAATATCATGTAGTTAATATAATAGCCTGAACTTAATACAGGTTGGCCATCACTAATCCGACATCATCAGGACCTGTAGGGTGCCGAATTAATGATTTTGCCGGATTACAAAGTGGTTACGTTAGAATACACTTAACCTAATGGCGACATTGAGACATCTGCAATTTCACCCACTTTATGCTGTATTTTTGGCTCATTGCATTGTTCCAGTCAACGAAACTCATAGCTATTTCGGTAGTATTCCTTCCATTCTGTCAATTGAGTACAAGAAACTGCCCATTTACCTATTTTAACTACCCAATAAAGTGGTAATAAATCGGTAATTTGGCCAATTTCACACAAATTTCAAGAGATGCCAATTTCAAAATAGAGTCCAGAATAAACAATGCGGACATTCTTGGCACAAAAATAAAATTTTCTCTGTTCATCAGTCACGTCTCCAGGCCTCACTTGCTTTAAATTTTGAATTTTTATTCACACAAAAAAATAGAAGATTTACTGTTATGCAGACTACTGCATTATTGTAATACAGCCTCTCCTCATTTAGCGATGTATTCATTGACCAATGACTCAGACTTACAATGGGCTGTCTGACCAGTATGCATACCTAAATAATGTATATTAGAGCTAATTTCCTCTATGCTGTTTATTACAATATGCAGTACACTACTGTATAAACATTTAAAAATATACTAAAAATGTTATAAATGGTACAAGTGTGACATTACAGCAATATCAAAGATGGCCAACATACACCCACTACCATTACAGTATGCCCCTCGTTTAGCAATGTGATATTAGGAACGGAACTCTGTCATTAAGTGAGGAGAGGCTGTAATTGTATAAATCATATCAACCCACTTTTTTAAATGTTGGCCATTTCCCACCGAGGCATGGTGACCCAATAAGAAAGAAAAACCCCAAAAACAAGAAAAAACTTATCATCATTCAACACTTTCACCATCACTCATACTTTAATCACTGTCTTTGCAGAGGTGCCCAGATAAGACAATTTAGACATCCCTCCAAACTGCCAATATCCTAAACCCTTCCTTTAAAGTGCAGGCATTGTACTTCCCATTTCCAGGACTCAAGTCCAGCTAATCAATTTCCCTGAATCCCTTCACAAAATATTACCCTGCTCACACTCCAACAGTTCGTCAGGTCCCAAAACCCATTCATCTCCATTCACTCCTATCTAACATGCTCACGCACACTTGCTGGAAGTCAGCCCATTTGTGACCATATATTAGACCGGCCAGTTGGACGCACATTGGACGGTGATGTCATTTGTTTACTCTTGAACATCAACAAAAATCGAACATTTCCGCGACTGAGCTCAATTTCAAGGTATGTACTTCCTATTGTGAAACCAATCAAAATCATATCTATTTCTGTAATACATCTTCCATTCTATTAAAAGAGACCAAAAAAAACGAGAATACAACCATAAAAACAATACAAAAATACACGGTCGCTGTTTTCTCTCATTATGCACTGCATGCTGCAGGATTTATTTATATAGTGCACACTCACCACACAGACCTTTTCTCTTATATGTAGGCCCCAAATTTACTGGTCACAGCTTGTGAGTGAGCTGAGCTCATGGCGACCCACAGTGGTGTCAAAGCCACCTCATCTTTTATGGACAATGTACAGTGTACGTTATTTACACAATGAGTAGCATTTCTTCAATTCGTTGGTAACCATGGCTAAGGCTAAAAGTAAGAAGGTTATAACAATAAATGGAGAAAAAGAAATTGGAATGACTTATGCAACAAGTGCCACCAAACAGTAGTGGCAGGTTGGTGTGGCGACCGCAGAAATTTGAAATAATCCTAGCCAAAATTAGTGCCAGATTACTGATGGAACCAGATTACTGATTGCTGGATTAGTGATGGCCAATCTGTATACATGTCTTAATTCTACTTTCAACATCTTTTCAATGAAAAAAAATGCATTGAATAGCAAAATGAGCAAAATGACTCACTGTAAATTGTATATCAAAAAGTTTACTATGCCAAAGAACTTATTATAAGATACTGCATATTTAGCATATTACAGAAAAACCAACAACATTTAATGATGTTTCAGTATATACTACACAAGTTTAATAAACAATAAACAGACCTGAGATCCCATCATTGTGAAGGTCTTGCCACTTCCTGTTTGTCCATAGGCAAAGACACAAGCGTTATAGCCTTGCAGAGCATTGGATACAACATCTGTACCCAAGTCTTCGTAGATTTGCTCCTAAAATTTAGAAAAATTCATAAAACACCTGAAGCACATGAAACAAGAATCTTGCTAAACATGCTCTAATTAGGGAAAACAACTTGTTCAAATCATCAGCTGCATCTGCTGATACCCAACTGATTTTCTTATACAGTGGACCCTCAACCAGCGATGGCATCGATTAACGATAAATCTGACTCGCAATACATTTTAACGCAAAAATTTTGCCTCGCCTAGCGCTTAAAACCCTGACCAACGCTATTCGTTCCGTTCGAGACGAGTCCACTTTGGCCTGAGCGTGCCTCACTTGTCCCATGGGTACCAAGCAGGACGTACATTACTCAGGAGGAAAAGGCACTCCCAGGACATATGCCTATGAAAGACAGGCTTACTCTGTTGATGTGTGCCAATGCTAGTGGTGATTGCAAAGTGAAGCCTTTATTGGTGTATCACTCTGAAACTCTCAGAGTGTTCAGGAAAAACAATGTTGTCAAGGATAATTTGTGTGTGCTGTGGAGGCAAACAGTAAGGCATGGGTCACTAGGGACTTTTTCTATGACTGGTTGCACCATGCATTTTCCCCCAATGTGAAAAATTACCTAATTAAAAAGAAATTAGACCTTAAGTGCCTCCTGGTATTAGACAATGCTCCTGGTCATCCTTCAGACTTGGCAGAGCAACTTTCTAGGGACATGAGCTTCATCAAGGTGAAGTTTTTGCCTCCTAATACCACTCCTCTCCTGCAGCCCATGGACCAGCAGGTCATTTCCAACTTCAAGAAACTGTACACAAAAGCTATGTTTAAAAGGTGCTTTGTAGTGACCTCAGAAACTCAACTGACTCTAAGAGAGTTTTGGAAAGATCACTTTAACCATCCTCAATTGTGTAAACATTATAGGTAAGGCTTGGGAGGAAGTGACTAAGAGGACCTTAAACTCTGCTTGGAAAAAACTGTGGCCAGAATGTGTAGACAAAAGTGATTTCGAACGGTTTGAGGCTATGAGAATCCTATGCCAGTTGAGGAATCCATTGTGGCATTGGGGAAGTCCTTGGGGTTGGAGGTTAGTGGGGAGGAAGTGGAAGAGTTGGTGGTGGAGGACAATGAAGAACTAACCAATGATGAGCTGCTAGATCATCTTGAATAGCAAGAGGGCAGACCTGAGGAAACTGCTTCGGAGAAGGGGATAGAGAAATTAAAGAAGTTGCCTACTTCTAAGATTAAGGAAATGTGTGCAAAGTGGCTTGAAGTGCAAACCTTTTTTGATGAAAATCACCCTGACACAGCTACTGCAAGCCGTGTTGGCAACCTGTACACTGACAATGTTGTGAACCACTTTAGGAAAGTCATAAAGGAACGAGAGGTACAGGTATCTATGGACAGATATGTTGTGCGACAGAAGTCCAGTGACTCTGAAGCTGGTCCTAGTGACATTAAAAGAACAAGGGAACTAACCCCAGAAAAAGACTTGCTACCTCAAGTGCTAATGGAAGGGGATTCCCCTTCTAAACACTAAGAAGATCAATGCTCTCCCCTCCTCCCATCCCATCAATCATCACCAGATCTTCAATAAAAGTGTCATGTAACTGTGCATGTCTTCTTCAGTTTGTGTGTATTAAAATTAATATTTCATGTGGTAACATTTTTTTTTTCAATACTTTGGGGTGTCTTGCACGGATTAATTTGATTTCCATTATTTCTTATGGGGAAAATTAACTTGACTAACGATTATTTCGATTAACGATGAGCTCTCAGGAACAGATTAATATCGCTGGTTGAGGGTCCACTGTATTTTTTTTAAATTTCCATTCCAGGAATCCTGTGCACACTTTTTAATATTGTAGAGAGAATTCATATTTTGAAGTGCCCCATGTTTGTTGTATATAAAAACTCTAATAAAAAACATATTCTCTTACCCATCATGATTGATAAAAATTCTGCACAAAAAATTAAGGAGAGAAATAAAAAGTTTTGAGCACTTACTTGCTGAAGAGCAAACAAAACTGACTCAATCTACAGCTATTTTTCTGTTCAATTAATTCATTGGTTATACAGAACAGACATATTAGAAAGGATACAAATCAGTTGTAGATGAATGGTTCAGAGAACCGACACATTGATAAATTAGACACATGTGCAACTCTTGGGTATCTTTATTGAGGAAACGTTTCACCACACAGTGGCTTCATCAGTCCATACAAAGGAGAATCTTGAAGAACAGGAGGAGAATGAGGTAATCAGTCCCTCAACCTTGAGTCGATGTGGTCAGTCCATCAATCTTGAATAGAATACGGTATATGAGCGGAGAAGGAGCTTATAAACCGTAGGCAGGAGAGGTGCAGCAGTTGTAGATGGTGTCAATAAAAATACCCAAGAGTTGCACATGTGTCTAATTTATCATACAAATCAGTTCTCCACAGGTCCTTGCTGCACAAATACATTACTAACCCTGCTATTTTCCCCACACACAACACATCAAATGGTATTTTCAAAATTCATACAGAATTCTAATTTTAACCAAATGAATAAAGCAACTATGGGTACTGCATACAACAAACCTTTTTTGCTCAATATCTTAAACAGTTACCAAGTTTAATATTAACAGACAAATGGTGCACAGTGTGTAATGAAAACAGATCATCCATTAAACTCTAACATTTCCTTAAGTGAGCTAACAGCTTTTTTACTAACTGTAATAACACTCTGACCCCAACACCCATTCATTGTACTTAAATGCTAAGAAATTACAGTTGCACTTCGGTTGTCGACTGCATTATCTGTCGAACAAATCGGTTTTCGACTGACATGTTTGAGAAAAAATGTCCTGGGTTTCATGCATTCTCTTGGTTGTCAATGGACAAGTTTTCGCGTGTATGGAACGGGACAAAGCAGCTCAGGTCACGTGCTCACAGAATGCACACTGGACAATGGGTCGAGAGCACGGGTACGAGTCAGTATAGCCACTAACTCTCGTGCAGTAAACACCTCTTGATCTTTTGTTGTGCATCCTGTGAACTTTTTTAATTATTTTGTGGTTTTTATGAAATTTTTTTGTTGTGAGAAAAGCCATCATGGGTCATCCAAAAAGGATAAAGAGATGAAAAAAAAAAAGTTGTAAAGAGTACTGTTGACTTTTAAAAAAGAAGCTATCAGAAAGTATGAAGAAGATTGGTTCCCCATGGTTGATGTAGAAAAACTTTTTGGTAAATCAGCATCTACCATTAGCATGATATTGGGCCAAAGGGAAAAAATTAAAGCAGATACAGAGGATACTGTGTCCCTGGGAAGACCTATGTAGTAGTTAGTACATTATTAATATTTTTTTTTTTTAACAAGTCGGCCGTCTCCCACCGAGGCAGGGTGACCCAAAAAGAAAGAAAATCATTTGAGGTCTGGAATGGATTAATTCTATTTACATTATTCTTTATAGGAAAAATTGCTTTAGTTGTCATCAATTTTGCTTGTCAAATTGACATCTGGAACGAATTAAATTCGAAAAACTAAGGTTCCACTGTACAATATTAAAAAACCACTGAGAATAAATAAACATTTTATTTAAAGCATTACTTTCAAAGACTTCTTTATATGAAAATGCTGAATTACTCACAAAAAATTGGTAACATAATTGTAAACAACTTGTGGAATAAACAGGCAAGTGCTCTAACAACTGTACGGTACTATGTTCCACAGTCAGCCCTCCTGGCCCTATATCACTCTTATTAACCCCTATCTCACCTATGGAATTTGTGCATGGGGCTCAACAACAATTAACCATCTCAGACCACTAATTACCCAACAAAAGGCTGCAGTCAGAATGATAACAAATTCCCACTACAAGCAGCACATTCCACCAATATTCAAAATACTAAACCTACTCACCATACAAAACATCCATACTTTTTACTGCACCTATTACATACATAGAACACTTAACTCTGATATTAACCCTCCCCTCAAACATCTCCTTGCCAACCTCAACAGAACACATGACCATAACACAAGGCACAGATCACTCTTTGATGTTCCTCGTGTCCATCTCACGCTATGCAAAAACTCAATGCACATAAAAGGCCCTAAAATCTGGAATTCATTACCTGTAAATATAAAAGAAACACTACCTGTTTATAAATTCAAGTCTCTTCTCAAAGATCACTTACTCACCCAAAACCAAATAAATACTGAATAACTGAACCTTATAAATTGTATATCTTAAATGTTTCTCACAATTATATCACATAAATGTTAAACCTAAGACCCAATCTAACTTTGTTATTTTTTAAATACACTACCTAACAGAATACTCCATTCTACTGAATGTACAGCAATGCATGCAACCATATGACCTGTCTTTGTAATACTCATTTGTGCTTTATTGTTATCTGTTTATAATAATGTTTTATCACTGATTACATCATTGCTTAGTTAATCTTAAGTTAATTTTAAGCCAGCCCGTAATGCTATGCATACAAGTGGCTTTGGCATGCTGCTCTTACCTGTATTTTTTTGTACCTCTGTATGTATGTTCAAATTATAAAATAAATAAATAAATAAATAAATAAATCCTATTAGCCCAGCAGTAGACTGGCTTCTCAGGGGTTTGAATCCTGGCCATTCCAAGAGTTAATCCTGGATGATTTTGTCCAAACAGTACATATTTTCACATGAACATTAATAGCACAAGAACAAGAGTTACACCTCAATACAAACACTCACAATTTAAGTATCCTTCAATGCTGATGCCCTATAGAATTCATGAGCAATCGAAGAGGAAGGATAATTTCCCTAACCCTTACTTATGTTCATCTGCCCCCAGTGACAAGGTCAACAATGATGTGGTTCAACTGGACCAAATGGGTGCTCACCAGAGATGCCATGCCCAAATCCATTTTTTTTTTTGGGGGGGGATATTCTTTCTCATGAATGCCAATATTAACAAGATTGGAGTTATATTTGAGGAAATATGGCTGAAGAACATACATGTAGAAATATATTTTATTGATTTAGAGTACTGTATGCAAGCCTTATGATCAGTTTGCCTGAAATGAATTACATAATTAGCGGCTACTTCTGAGCCTTCAATTGTAACAAATTATAACTATTATAATAAGATCAAAATAAAAAAAACAGTCAACTGAAATGCATAATTATTGCAACTTCTTTGTATGACTCACAAGAAATAATTTTTTTTTTAAACCCAATTTGAGCCTGCCCCATATGGTTTGAATTTTTTCAATTCTGTCATGGAACATTTATCATGGTATGCCTACAATATAAATGCTGCATGTACATATTTAAAAATACATAAAACTAGTACTAAGTACCTGTGGAGCAAAATGTCTATCAGAATCTCTGTGAGACCAATAGGAATAGTCAAACGTGAAGTCCTTAATACGCTCTCGATTCTCTCCACCCTCAATTGTATTTACCTGGAAAGAAATATCATATGTATAGAAAATGAATTAATAAAGAATTCTAACAGAAGTTATTTATTAAATGCATATGCAGCATTAGTTTCAGTCTACCTTAATATGGTTATTTCGAGGATTACAGTAGAGGTCTCAACTTACAGAGTTTAAAGTTATGAGGTTTAGTATTTACAACATGGGAATTTTAGAACCAATTAATTACTTACTTACAAACAGTGACTCACTCTTCCGACATTAGGACAACCATTTTTATTATTTTCTCAAATACGAATTATAATTATATTTTTCTGTATTAGTTTTTTGAAAATGCATTCAAACTTTGTTTATGCTCATTTTATGCATGCATACAGAACTCTTATTTGTTTGGTAGAGTCATTAAGAATTAAATACTACTGCATTCACCAAATGTTTACAGTGAAGTATATGTATATGTATAAGGTAAATAAGTTTTTGATGCATTTACAGATTTAGAAAATGCATACGATAGGGTGGAGAGGAGAGCAATGTAGCCGACGTTGCAGGTGTATGCAACTGGTGGTAGGTTACATAAAGTAATTACAAGTTTTTATGAAGACAATCAGGTAGTAAGTTACTAAATGCTGTAAAGAGGTTTTATGAGGATAGTGAGACTCAGGTTAGGGTGTGTAGGAGAGAGGGAGATTACTTCATAGTAAAAGTAGGTCTTAGACAGGGATGTGAAATGTCACCATGGTTGTTCAACATATTTATAGATGGAGTTGTAAAAGAAGCAAATGCTATGGTGTTGGGGAGTGGGATGGGTTTAAATTACAAGCCTGACCCATGGCCGGACTCTGAGAGTAGTCAAACTCTCGAAGCTCTTCTTCTTCTTCAAAGGTATGGGTATCAAATACAAAATGGGAGTTGACACAGTTACTTTTTGCTGATGATACTGTGCTTTTGGAGGATTCTAAAGAGAAGTTACAAAAGTTAGTTGACGAATTTGGGAGGGCGGGTAAAGAAAGTTTATAGTGAACACAGATAAGGGTAAGGTGATGAGGGTATCAAACAAATTAGTTAAGAGAAAAATTAGATATCACATTGGAGGGAGGGAGTATGGAAGAAGTGAATGTGTTTAGATATTTGGGAGTAGATTTGTCAGCGGATGGGTTTATGAACGACGAGGTTAACCATAGAACTGCTGAAGGAAAAAATGTGAGTCGTGCATTGAAGTATCTGTGGAGACAAAAATGTTACCCATGGAGGCAAGGAAGGGAATGTACAAGAGTATAGTGGTACAAACACTCTTACATGGGTGTAAAGCATGGGTTGTGAATACTGCAGCAAGGAGGAGGCTGGAGGCAGTGGAGATATCGTGTCTAAGGGCAATGTGTGATGTAAATATTATGCAGAGAATTCGTAGTGTGGAAATTAGGAGGAGGTATGGAGATACAAAAAGTATTATTCAGAGGCCTGAAGAGGGGTTGTTCAGGTGATTTGGTTATTTAGAGAGGATGGGGCAAAATAGAATGACTTGAAGGGTGTATAAATCTGTAGGGAGGGGAGGAGGGGTACGGGTCATCCTAGGAAAGGCTGGAGGGAGGGGGTAAAAAAGTGTGCAAGGAACCTGGACATGCAGCAGGAATGTGTAAGCATGTTAGAGAGGGGTGAATGGAGACGAATGATTTTTTGGGACCTGTTGGAGTGTTAGCAGGACTTGAGTCCTGGAGGTGGAAAACAGGAAGTACAATGCCTGCACTTTAAAGGAGGGGTTTGGGATACTGGCAGTTTGGAGGGATATCTAAACTGCCATATCTGAGCACCTCTGCAAAGACACTGATTATATGTGAGTGATGGTGAGAGTAATGAATGTGATGCAAGTTTTTTCCTTTCTTTTTGGAGTCACCCTACCTTGGTGGGAAACGGGCGACCTGTTAAAAAATAAAAATAAATATACAGCAGAACCCGGATTTTGTCCTCAATCTGTTCCAGGTCATTCTAAATCTGAAAGACGAAAATCGAAGCAATATTTCCCAAAAGAAATAATGTAAATAAAATTAATCTGTTCCAATAATATAAATAAAATTAATCCATGTGATGTTAAATGTTCCATCTCACGAGTGACGGAACATTTAACATCACACTTACCCTTAATGAAGATTCTTGTTGGGAATGGATGGTGAGGAGGGGAGAGGGAGGAGGAGCAGAGGTTATTGTTTTAAAGGGAAATCCCCCTCCATAAGGATTTCAGGTATCAAAGCCCTAGCCCTGGCAATGGACCCCTGTCGCACTAAAAATCTGTCCAGAGAGCTCTGTTTCTGGCGTCTCTTTAAGATTTGCCTAAAATGGGACAAGTATTGTCACTGAACATGTTGCAGATACAGCTTGTATCAGCTTGTTCAGGGTGATATTTTTCCACAAAAGTTTGCATCTCATTCCACATTGATCTCTTTTTCGTTAGCATATTTACCTTTTCGCAACATCAGCTTCCTTGATTTCTATTTACTTTGCCAGGATGGAAACTGATTGTTGATTTGGACTT